CGAGCGAGAGAGAGAGAGAGAGGACCCATAGAAGTTAGGAAGAGAAAGAGGGGAAAAGTACCGATGACTGCGACACGTTCAGCCCGGCTCCGTCGGCCCTGGGGAGAGCGGCTCCTGGCGCCTGCCTCCTTTGATGAGGACACTGAGCTGCCGGTTGCACCTTCGCTGCCTCTTTGCGAGCGGCTGCAGGAGCCTCTAGCGGGGCTGCCATTTTGTGCCCCGCTCTATTCATAGACCTACCTGCCGCGGAGACCTGAGCGTCCAGCTGCAGCTCATGGTAACAGTCTTTAAGAAACACGCCATTTTTTAAAATGCATTTCTCAAGGCAAGTTAGGGCCTTCTGTGCTAACATAATGCAGCCTTCCTTATGCGTTGGCGGGCTCAATTTAGCAAATTCTATCCAAAAGCCTTGCAAAGACTTTTTTGCTACCTAAAAAAACACCTAAAAACCAAGTAAACTTGCATTGGATGCATGTTTCTTTTTAAAAACACTCAATGGACGTGACTGCACGCTAGTAATAAGTATAAGTAGTAATAGTAATAATAATAATAATAAGGCATTTTATATGTAACTCACTTCTGATTGAAAAGAATCTGCCACAGAGCCAGTATATAGTAGTAAAAAGAAACCGCTGAGTGATTTAACACAAGGTCCAAAAAGCCCTCCTGAATAAAAACAGTGTGTTTGCTGCCCTTCGGTTGTCAGGGAGACTGCTCCATAAGAACGTGTTGACCAGAATTGTCAGTACCCTTATTGGACCTCATGAGTGCATTCTGAATTTGTGGAAAAAAAGACCTTTGCTCAGTGTTCAGAAGTTTAAGCACTGAGAGGCGCAGCTGTGTGCTGCCTGTTTGCCATTTTGTGCCAAGCTCCGTCTATTATACATCCACCATGCCTCACTTTTTGGCTCTCATCAGAGCATTCTTTTGAAGTCTGTAGATCATTATCTCGATGGTGATTAGTGTGTGCACAAGAAAGATATCATACTATCTACATCAGGAGCTGTATGTCTTTGTGGCGAGGGCCTGTGAATGCCCACAAGGCCGTCGCCTCCCCTGTATTACTTGTGAAAATCATTGCGCCTCTTTAGTGTCTCTGCGTGTACGTACGTGTGAGTACAAAAGCCATTTCAGTAGTCAGCTTAGATTTCTTCCTCTCAAATCCAAACGCCAAAACCAGCACTACCCGCCACTTGCTGCCACACAGCCTTGTGTGAGTTGAAGTGGTGGGCGCGCTTGCTATCCGCACTGATGCCAGCCGAACGTGTCAGAATGTCTTGGAATCTATTATATCCGCACAGTGCCCATTTCTCCGTGGTTGTCTCCATATTCCCCATAGATGCCCAAATTGCTTTGACATGTGAAATGGTAATGGGCAAACTCTGACAGAACCGTAGTTGATGGTCCCAAAAACATTGGACCTTTCTCCTCATTTGTTGTGACTTCTTGTACCTAGAAGACATTTCCGAGTTGATGCAGTGCTCATTTGTTTCCAGTATCTCTGCTGGGGGAATACGTATTTGGTCTCGTAGGTGTGTGAGTAGTGCTGGCTTATGTTGTTGGGCTCCTGTGATTGTCCATTTGTGCTTGTGGTCATTCACACTTTCATTGGATTGGCTTTTGACCCCTTCGGCCCTCTTAACTGTCCGCTTGGTTGTGTGATTGGTTGACACATGCTTCGGTCTGGAATCTTGTTCCAGCCATGGATTGTTAATATTTTGATTTCCATGCCTGGGCAACACAATTGTATGTGTCTGTGCTTCTCCATCACATCGCAAATGACAAATTGACGGTAGAAGCTACCTGCATAGATAAATGAGTGTAAATGCAGGTGCTGCACTGTTTGTCATTCTCCTACTCGCACTCTGTCCGCTGGTAGGAGTGGGCTAACCTGTGTGAGCGTGCACGTGTCAGTGGGTACGTGCACGCTCACGTATACTTTCTTGGTGCCCCAATACAATGGTGGGAGAAACTGGATTGAGCTGTTATTTTTGGTCGGTTTGGTGCCTGCCACCACTTGTCTGCATCATTTGGCGCAGGAGGAAGGGAAACAATAGCCTGCAGAAGGCTGGTTGACACGGCCGTCTTGTTCTCCTCGTGTTTGGGCGGCAGGGAGAAAGGTGGCGTTTCTGTGAGAACTGCCTTTCATCTCAGCCACTGGCTGCTTCTTGTGTACTGTGGGAATAATTGCTTTATTTTCTAAGGCGCCAGGCTGCAGTTAATTTCCTCTGCGGAATCCAATTAATGCCCAATATATATTTATTAATCACAAAGTGTCATTTCACTTGTTTATTTACATTTCTGTATGCTGCTCATTAGCATCTCTCCTGCTGCTTCAATTCTGTTCTCCCTTTCACCTACTCTGTTGCATTATGTGGGGATAGTACAACGTGATGCCTCAAAGCAAAGTATTTATACTTTAGAAAAGCAGCTAATTGGCATATTAAGTGTTTTCTGAAAAACAAATGACAAACAATCTTTCTTCCCAATGAGCCATTGAATTACTGTTTTAGAGCGATTCTTTTTCAATAACTAATCAAAATTGTTGTTTTGCAAACAAAACTTCTCATCTTCTGAGGTTATTTGTGCCTCATTTCAATGTATCACAATTTAAGCACAATTTAATTTGTATGTGTAAATACATTTTTATTTCTGCTTTTTATAAATAATAATGGGACCAGACGTAATCTTGTCAGATCAGCCGAGAAATAACCAAACATAAGCAAATGTTACTCAGGTAACATTTGGTGTGGTCAGGTGCTGTGTGTGTTCTGTATTAGATTATTATTATTTAGTTTTTTTTCTTTTCATATTTAGTAAAAAATGTAATCATTTGAAATGGCACACTGAGGAATAACTGCAAAGGTCCAACTCATTTATGATCATTTTAAATAACAATTTTTTTTTTTGTTTTACTTTTTAACTTTATGTAAAATGGAATAGTATAGTCATATTTTTTTAGGGCCAAGCCATACTTCTATTATACAGGAGTCACACGTAGACCCACGCTGGCTCATCATCCTGCCTGGGATTCCTTCCATTCAGCCTGGGTGGACTGACTTGAAATGCAATGATAGATGGCACGATACATACAGAAGTCACCATGAATAATGGATAATACCTGTATTTTCCGAAAAGCAGACGGATGGCGATGGACTCCCAGTGAGAGCAGAGTATGACTTTGATCCGCCGCCTAAAATGACTGTATTATCCCACTGTTAGAGAGGAGGACTGAAGGAGGCGCAGATGCTGTGGGTGTTGTGTGTGTACGTGGAGTACTTCTGCTTGCTCCCATGGTTCCGCTCTTGTGTGAGTGGCGGGCACAACATATTCATTAGAGTGGCTGTTTTCACAGAGAAGGGAAATGAATTGATGTTTAAAGGTCAGGAAAGACAAGAGCAGGGAAGAGGAGCCGTCAACTGATGAGGTGACTGAGGGTGAAATGAGAAAGCCTGGCATAAAAATAGAAGACCGACAGTAACAGAATCAGTGACAGAAGGAAATTGAAAGAAATTAGTAAAAGGGGAATTAAATGTCATAGAAATAAATACATCATGAATCGAAGATGTTGTAAATTCAAGTTGGAGTGGGAAAAAATAAATAAATAAAAATAAACTTCATAACTTTGAAGAAAGATGGGGCGAATGTGTGGGATCTACAATATTACTTTATTTTTTATTATCAATCATTTTTTTATATGCCCTGCAACCAAATCACTTTATTGAATGCAAAGTAAACAGACTTAAACACCTCAATTTTATTTTGTGTAAGTCAAAAAGTGCAATGGGTAGAAATGTGTGCTCAGTACAGTGCTGATCTCAGCTCAGTGTCCACAGGACCACGTCCATCGAATTAACTTGACCCACAATTCTCCCTCCACCTAGACAAGAAGTTTTTCACCCGCACGTCTTGTCTGGGAAATATGCAAAATACGAAGCGGTATGTTGAGGCGGAAATCGCGATTAGCCGTGGACAGAACTCGCTCACGAAGCACTGCGCGGTTCTCCCTGTGGAGATGGTTGCAGGAAAGACGCCCTGATGGCCTTTACAGCAGCGCTCCATCGCAAAGGTCTTTTGACTTCGCTAACTGCTCCCCTTTGTTTTGCCTGGTACCTTTGAGTGACAACCCGTGTTGCTACCTCGTTATACATGGCATAAATAGCGCTGAAGCAGGGGTGGGTGGTGCTCGCTGGATATCCTACCGGGCCGCCTGTCACTTGTTGACAGAGAAACAAAGAACTTGTCTTTTTCCCGGTAATTAAATTGTTTGCTTGGCGCGCGGCCTTCCATCACACCCGGCATCTAAATATGGATAGCCTCGCACTGCGTTATCCGTCTCCAATTTAGTTCCCTCTATTGTGATCAATAAGAGATGAAATATCTGTCAGGCTCAATTACACCGGGGATCCTCTGGATTGAGTCGGGGGAAAAGTTCCGAGGTTCAGTCGAGTCGCAGAGACCCGTAGAGGAAACGTGGAGTCCAGAGTAAGAGAGGTGTCAGCCGCGTATCGTGCAGACCTGTCAGTGAATCCATACCTGCATTGATCCACTGTCAATCCCAGCGTACCGACCCGGCCACTGGTCAATGCCACACGGACACACTCACTCAGACAATGAGCCATTCATGGAGTGCGATGGAGCCGTCTGCTCTCCCACAGATCAGCTTCAATAATGAACTCATTACGTGTCTCCTGTCCTTGTTCATTCACTCTTTGGGGCAAATCCAACAGGGCTTGAGAGGAGAGGAACAAACTGTCCTCCTTTGGCGCTCTCTCCTCAGATGAACAATTATGTATTTCCTCAACATATCAAGGCCTGATTTATAGCAATGTCCCCGCGTGAAATGTGCAGCACTCCCTGTTTGTTAAAACAGGAAATACAGGAGAGTAAAGACTGTTTCTGATGCGCTTGGTGAAAGTCCTCCAGCTCTTATATTCCTAATACAATAAACTGGAATCTCCCAACTCATCCCGCTTTGTTTTCTCTTTTCCTCTCTGCAGCGCCGTCTCTGATCAGCGAACTGCGAGCAGAGAAGATCGAGCAGAAGAGCATAACGTTGGTGTGGAGGCAGCCGTCTTACCCCAACAGCAGCCGCACCGAGTACGAGGTCAAGTATTACGAGAAGGTAAATCCACCACTTCATCAGACTCCCCATCATGTTTTATTCTCTCTAACCAAGTCTTCGAAATACAATATCCAAAGTTCTTTTTTTTTTACTTTGTTACATCAAGCTCGGTACATGAAATACAATTCACCTTTATTTATTTTTTCCTTTTATTACATCTCAAGTTAGTCGGTTACCAGAAGCTTGTTGATGTCTCGTTGTGCTGGTTGACCAGACTTGAGTACGGGCCATTTTTAAGCTGTTGAAACATGCCCCCCCAAAGGTTTGTTGAAATTTTAATGATAGAGGGTGACTGCTGTCTAAGAAGAGCGTGGCATAATCACTCTGAAGCAGGGATTTTTAAATATTCTTGAACAAATGTCTCATTTTGCACAGTTGGATTAAAGCGATTCAAGTAAATGAGCTAATCGGTCTTAAATCAAGACTGCTTCATGAATCTAACTGGGGGCTCGTTGTGTTTGGAGAAGTTTCTATAAGTCAATAGGTTTGTCCTTTTGTCCCTTCCAGGGGGGGTTGTTCAATGGAGGAACACTGCAATGTAACAACACTGTAGAGTTATTGAAAAGGGTTTGGATCATACGAGTCGGAAACTATCCTTTGTAGTCTCCAATTGACAAAATAGCATCCTTTTTGGTTTAAACACTATTCAAATGTTTATTTTGAATTTAAATGCCGTTAACAGCTTTTTAACATTTTCTATAGCTCCCAAATATTAAAATCAGCATCTGACTTGACAATCCTAGAGCTAATATTCGGGTTCCAGTTATGGTGACCGCACAGACTTCAAAATGATCTATTTGTTCCCTTTGCTCATGTTAATTATCAGCCCTTCATGAATAAGGTTTAATGTAGCACTGACATATGAAACTTTTAAGGGAAATGGAAGGAGCTATTTTTACAATCCCTCCCATGAGATTAGATAATTACTGAGAAACTGCAAAAAAAAAGTGCAGTATTATTTTAGTGAGTCTCAATGTCATTATGTAAAACTCTAGAGTCCACATTACTGCCACATTCCCTTTAGTTTCTATGGATAACTACTTCATCGGCCTTATTGCGCTCCGTTGACGTGGCACTTAGTCAGATTGCGGCCTACCCGTCCACACGCCACTGTCCTAAATAATAAATCTGTCATGCACGTAAACCGCAGCTGTCACGCTCACACTTCTACGCTTTCATACGTCGTATCTTCTTACAACGCCAGGCCTTTTGTATTTCACACCCGCGGCATTGCCACACCTCCCCCTCTTCTCTATACTTCACCATATTTAATAAAGCCCTGCTCCTCGCTGCTCTACTCCCACTGATTTAGCACCAAAAAAAAGGGGAAGATTTAGAAGAGCGGAGAGAGATAACAAGAGGTATCCACGAGAGCAGTCTGAAATAATGAGGATCCTGTGTGATAACTGAGGGAGAGAAAAGGTTAGAAAGGGTATTAGCGACAGATGACTTGGTGGAACGATGCTTGTAAGAGCAGAGCGATGGAGAGAAACGAAATGTAGAGGCTGGATGGAGGCGAGAGGCGGATGAAGGGAGAGAGAGACACACAGAGTAAAGGATGGGTGGAGAACAACCGAGAGTGAGACAGGAAAATTGGGGACAGGCCATGAAATGAAAAGGCAATACAACTATGCTGCAGCAAAGTGCCTCTTAAAGTATGAAATATACGGCTTTGCTTAGTCAGTGTGTAGCCTTTCTCTTCCTCCCTTTTTATCAGTTGTTTATGGGACCACATATACTGATATTTCTGAAAGCCCTTGCTAAACATTCAACGACAATGCAAGTCTTTCACCCATGTGTTCACGTGGATCACACACGCTGGCGGCCGCATCGATGACCGGCGACGATGACGACTGACGATGATTCATCCTCCGTTTATTATAACTCGATGCCGAAGCGTCTCCTCCTGTTGTTTTCCTCCCACTAATCGTCTCCTCTCCACCCTCACCTGTCCGTCTCTTCTCGGTTTCATGTACTTCATTTAGCTCAACCCACGGGACTCCCTAACTGTAAACTAGCTGCCAGTCACTTTCTCAGCGACTCTCTCTGACGTTTGTTCCCATTACTTCATCCCATGATATTCTTGAAGCAATGATGGCGTGCGCGCTTGATGAAAAAAATAAATCTTATTTATCATCAAAGCTCAACGGGCGTCATCTTTTTGACGTGCAGAGGTGTGGTGTGCGCAGACCGAAGCGACGGATTGCCCCCAAAACCCAAACATAGCAGACAAGGAGTGGAGTAATAACTTGATGCGTCACCTTTTCTCCGACTCCAGCGTGAGTGAGTCGTTCTCACAAACAGGCCTCTTTATTGGATTAATGTTCTAATCCCTGTAATGAACCGAGACTGGATTGCAGTCTGGTTTTCTTTATCCAACGAAGTCTGACTCCTGGCAAAACCGTCTGGAAACTTTTCTCCAACTCTTTGAAACGCTGTTCCACCATCTCGTAAGTGAAACGTTACCAAAGGCCTCGATTTGGTTACAAAATTGTCTCGCGCGGCTCCCGGCACTACATGCCGTGGAAATGAACAAGGCCTCACTCAAATCGCTTCCACCTACTCGTCTCCCTTCTCCTCCTGCGCTCACCCCCCCGCGTCTCCGCCTCTCACTGCACTTTCTGTCTCTGCAGGAACAAAAGGATCAGAGTTATTCTACCGTGAAGACGGCCGCCACGCGGATCTGCGTCAACAACCTCAAGGCTGGCACCACATACGTCTTCCTCATCCGCCCTTTCTCCACGCCGGCCCCCTCCTCTCCCCTGTCCTCCTCCCCTCTGTCATCCGCCTCCGCGTCCTCTTCCGCCAATTCCTCCTCGGCGTCCTCCTCCTCCTCCTCCTCTCCGCCTCCCATCGACTACGGGGCGTACAGCGCTCCCCTGGAGCTGCAGACACTTGGCGAGCGTGAGTAGCCGTTTTACGCCTCCGCCCTCCTCGCTTTCCCTCCACTCCCTCCACCCAACACACCGCCGGGCGGATTGGCGTGTGGGGGTTTGTGTGGTGCAGGCACCTGGCCAGCCCACACAATAAAGCTCGCAGAGAGAGACGGGATGTGACGGTCTGAGATTATGTGTGAGGACGCAAGACTTTACCAGTGAGCTGTGAAATGGTTGTGCTTTGTGCGAGTTGATACCGTGTCCCTCGTATCACCTCAAGGTCTGGTTGGCTGGTGTGTGTGTGTGTGTGTGTGTGTGTGTGTGTGTGTGTGTGTGTGTGTGTGTGTGTGTGTGTGTGTGTGTGTGTGTGTGTGTGTGTGTGTGTGTGTGTGTGTGTGTGTGTGTGTGTTTCAAACCTTGTACTTCCCATGAATCCTTTGTTTTAAATGTTTTAGTTACCCAGGAAAGGGATTTGTTCACTGTGTACCCCGCCCAAAACACTATGTTTGCCAAGGACCAACTCTGCCAAAGATTATTTATTCATTTCTAAGAGAACGGAGTCTCGCCTGTCTTTGTTTTGCCTCAGGGGGAGGGCTCTTTGTTGCAGGATAACTTTTTCGTTACCATATTCAGTTTGCTTCATTCCCCTCAGGCTGGATCAAGAGTCAAATGAGTGATGACCTAACAGCAGCCTCTTAACGGCCGCGTGAAAAACAGATTCAAAACCATATTCATGATACAATCACTTGATTGGGACGTGTAATTGTCAAGTGAATAATGCATTCATTAAAAAAAAGGTTTTTAAACTGATGGGCTGAAGATCCATGTGCAGTAATGTGAAAGGAATGCTGTGCAGTGTCCCAGGACAGCATAGCAGTGCTGATCCAGGAAGTTAAAAATGATAATACTAAAATATATATATTGCTATTTTAAATAATAGATGACATGGTCCACAAAAAGAATTCTAAAAACTACTGACAAACTTTCAAAACTACCATCTGCTGATGAAGATTATTTATGTAATATTGCTTCAAAAGTATAACTTTCATATCTGAACTACATGAACTACTTATATTAATATATGATTCCTGTCCTTTTGAATCCTCACTGAAGCACAGTGTGTATAAATGCTATTCAAACTGTGTATTAAAGTAGGTTCAAGTTTAATATGACTTTTATTTTAATAGAAAATCATCAGTTTACCCTCTACACAAATCAACTCCCTGTGAAATTAATGTGGCCCGAAGGTCATCGGACTCCCAAGGAGACAAGCACTTGCACTTTAGCATCACAGCTACAAAGCTAAGTTTAGGGAAAGATTGTGTGTTTGGGTAAAAAAAAAAGGTTAATTTGTTGCAGTACTTGTCACTCGTGTGACATTGTTGATGGAGATTAAGTACAAAACGTACAGTTTAACTACAGTAAATGCCGTGTCCTCATGGGGGAAAGTCCTGTGTTTGTTTGACTGTGAGTAAGTGTGTACGTTCTGTGAAGGAGCGGCGTGAATATGCAGTAAAGGAACACGTGTGCGGTGCATGCTGGCGTGAGAGAACGCGTCTTGATGCCGTCATGCCGGCGGTTCTTTCCCCAGCTAGTCGTTGCTCACGTGTGTAATCAGTGGCTTTGCTCACTTCCAGTGGCGCTGGCGTCCAGCGAACAGAGTCCCGTGGTGATCATCGTGGTGGTGTCCGTGGCCGCTCTGATCGTGCTGCTCTCCATGGGACTTGGCCTGCTCATCTGGAGGAGGTAGGTACTTAAACGCATACGTAAAACCATGCATTATCCACTGTGCACTTCATTCTGTCAGCTTTTAATTCCCTCCGCTCGCGTTACACAAACACACGCTGACGCGCTCATGTGTGCAAGCACTCCATCACGGACTCAATCAAGTATCCAGTCAACTGTCACATGATACTCTGTTATAATCCAGATTACAGTAATCCGGTGACAGTTGGAAATCCCTCTGTGAGAGGACTCTGCAGTGGCGGCGAGAGAATGGCTGAAATTACACGATAACGCTCATCGTTTAATATGCTGCATAAAGAAGTCGGCAGGATGGCGATGCCGTCTGCGCTTGGGAGCAACGTTGCCCGGGTCAGAGGCTTCTTTGATCATTTTCTTGGCGTGGAGTTCACAGTTCATTGCTATCTAATTAGTTGTGGCGCAGATGAGTAGGAAACAGCAGAGAGGATCAGAGAGGTTAACGCAGTGACACTCGGACAGCTGACGCCTGGTTTACTCAGACCAATGTGGTCGTCTTTCAGAACTCGTTTGCGTTTCTTACTATTGGATTGGACGCCGCAGATTCAGTACTTCTCTCTTAGGATGAGAGACGACTAAAGCATTTCACTTCATGCGAATGGTTGGAGTTGCATTTCACCACCACTTCCTCCTCCATTAATGTGACCTAAATTTTTTTAACATCGTGTTAGTCTTCAAAACAACACTTTTAATTGGAAGAGGTTTGTGGTTGAAGTGACCAATGACACTGCTGCAAAAGTGAGAAGCTTCATTTCTCTATTAAGGGGCACATGTACATTTTAGAACATGCATGAATCTCAGTAGAAAAGGAAAGTGATTAAATCGCAACCGATGCAGTTTCGGCTGCTGCTCTAAGCTGGGGTCAACAGGTTTTATCCGTAAAAATCTTTCAGCACAATGTAATTAAATTAATTTTCGAGAGTAAACTTTTACAGCTTGCTGGACGTTGCTGTGGGCCGCTCTCAAACGCAGCGTCTGATTCAGGGATGACTCGCATGCAATTAAATGTAGTCAAAATCAAATAGGGACATGGCATTGGAGTTCTTTGGGCTAGCAGCATTTGCTAACACCCGTGTTACACGTGTCCGATAATCAAAAGCCTTCTTTTCCCTTTTGTAGGTATTTGCGTCACGTATCACAGCAACAAATTTGTCTGAGGTTTATGATCTTAATAAACCAAAAGACACAAACAATAAATCAATTGCCATTCGGCGTAACATCAGGTGCTTTAATGCATGTTTTATTGTCTTGTTTTTTGCAGAGTATATATTGCATGTTTTATTCAGCTGTGCAGATAAACGGGGTGGGAGTGCATTTCGGCTTCCCGTTCCAACCACTTTGCTCTCTGACTCCCGTCCAATTCTATATTCTGCCAGCTTGCTTCTCACAGACGCCCACACGGACACACACACTAACACAGTATGTGGCGCGCACGCCCTCACACATGCAAGCACATACGTGAGGAGCACATATCTCTTACTCCCCCACAAGGCCAGAAAGCATTTTCTTTTTCTTTTTTTTCCATTTCCTTTGGCTGGCGTTCAACTGATATCTGTCCAGGGAGGTTTTTTTGGAAACATTGTAGAAGCATTTGTTTGCATAGTTTGAGTGCATTCTTTTGTTCTATCCTCTACACACAAGCACACACCAATCTGCATTTGAGCCAACTCCAATCCCCGTGAAGCAAAGCAGGCGATTCCACGGGTGCGCCCACCTACTCCTACAAAGAGGGGATTGTGATATAGAGACCAGCAGACCGATCCGACGTAAACGCAAGCGGTCCGATGATGGAGTCAACCGGGTGTAGAAATTGGTTCTATTCACCACCAGGATCCCCTTACAAACAGCTGCTGTCAGTCAAGCCTCTGCAGAGGAATAGAAGGGAATCGATGCACACGTGTGTGTGTAGCACTGAAAAAACAGCATTGCAGTCGGACTACGCAGAATATGCAGAAATGTGCCAACTCTCAGCACAGTTGCGCACACACACACACAGACACATACATGCCTCGGACGCAGGCTAGAGATGAATAACAATGCTTATCTTTTCCCTCTTTTATTTCCGTTGCTGAATTCATTGAAAGCGGTCGGCGTTGTTCATCCCTGCTGCACCATTAACTTGCTCGTCATGTCTTGCACAGAGAGACAAAGCAGGAATAGCTTGATGCCTCAATTACCATGCTCTGGTGTTCGCAAAGACAGCCAGCTCCCGGTCACAGCTGGAGGGATCTCGGTTACATTGATCGGCCCTGCTCGCGCAGGCACATGCAAATGAGTCTCTCGGCACACGCATGAAGGCGGGGACGCGGGCGGTCGCACGCATTTAAAAGGCGCCCAATTCGCACGGACGGCGGCCACACTTCATCCGACAAGCCGGCCTGTTTGTCTCCATTTGAATGGACGGTTTGCTCGCTGTCTTTTGAAGCATTTTACTCCCCGTTGTCCAAAACACACATGCAGCTGCCTCGTCCCGTGTTTTCCACGGTTCTTGGGGGATAGTTTTTGTAGTAAGTGTAACCGTGATCAGACCTTTTCAAAGAAAAATGTAATTGCGATTGCAATCATCTTAATTGCGATACGATTTCCAATAAAAGAGGGAATTAGGATTTCTATGTCATTATTCTTACTTAAAAATCAATTTTGTGATGTGATTTTTTAACATTTAGATTAATTGTGCAGCTCTCATGTTCTAAAGATTTGTCCTGATGAATCCATAGTTGGAGGGATTAGCTCTTCTGGCTCCAAAGCAAGAGAAATAACACCTTTGTAAATATGATGTTGTGTAGAAGTGCCTCTCCCTTCCACCTCTACAGCTGCCACAGCAACGTGGAATAATGTTGGAAATAAATATGGAGGAAAATTTTGATGGGACAAAAAAAAGCACTTTTTTTTGTCTCATTGATCCCTTTTCTTGAAGGGCCCCTAAACACAAACACAGGCACACGTGGTCCATTGGTGCCTGACCGGGTTTGATGAAGCCAGAGTTCCAGGACATTCACTGTGCGCAGAACGGGGGCAAAAAATGAGAGGGGATGCAGGAATGGGAGGGCGAGGAGAAAAGGTCTTGGACACTGTGGTGTAGTTTCAAAACCCCCAGCAGACAGACATCTTTCATTTAAAGTGGGAACGCTGTCATTCCAAACGCTGTGTGTTGGTTTTTAAAATATATTACCATTCAATGAATTTCTTTAAAATTGTATATTTTTTTAGCTAATCCCAAAGCTATGACGTCTGCCGTTTGGTCAACAAAAGATGTCAAATTCCTTCCATGTCTAACATATTTTGGCAATAAATGTTCCTGAAAAGCAAAAAAAATGCTTCTGCACTGATCACAAAAGTCTGTTTTCCAGGAGCGTCTCCCAATGCGATGAAAGAAAACTAAGGTGTTTCCACTTTGTACCCATATGACTGGATTCACTTTAAAGCGGTTCTGTGAAGTTCTCATCTTCCATGTATTTGGCCCTCCGCACCTTTCTGCCGGCATAATTCGTCTGCTTCACGCTCGCATATCATCTCGGATTCCATCGCCGCCGTGTCACCTCGTAAGCATTGTATTTCCATCACTGCACTTTGTTTTGGAGGAGGAGAGTTTGGGCGTAAGGAAGAGCAGGCGGGGAGTACAGGGTTCATCTACATGACCTCCGTTCCCTTTCTCCTCCCTAATGTCCCCGAGCGAGTGCGCCTGTTGCCTGTACTTGACAGATGAGTATATAGTGGATAAGTAGAAATAGCCGATTTCTAAGAGAGACTGAAACAAAGATGACAATTCGAAGATGTAACATTGGATGAGACTGATCTGACGCTGACAGAATTTGGCCAGAATCTTCCGTGTTTTGGCGTCAACACATTTCTTCCGGGCCATCTGGTTCTTCAGAAGTGTGAAACTGAAAATGCTCCAGAATTCTCGTCAAAAGTATAAATTTGGGAAGCAAATGTAATGAAGTGATTAAAAAATAAAAAATGCAGGATATATTTTCAAAACAGAGGATAAATGTTTTCATAGTTTTTCCGCATGTTTCTTTTTTTGCCAGCAGCCATCATGATTCGGGAGAAATTAATCATCAATCCAAAAATGTGTTGCTTCAACATCTTTTTCAAGAACTGAACAGAAGAGCCAGAATTGACATCGGCCCCCCCTCCCTCTCCCTTGTTTTTTTCCCAGCAGCGTCTGCTCGAGCTCCTCCAATGTAACTCCTGCTAGCGTGGTGCTGCTTTCGACCTCCTTCTCCACTCTTCCTCCTCCTCCTCCTCTTCTTTCTCCTCTTCCTCCCTTCACACAGCTGATGCCCAGGTACACTGGCATGCCTGCCCTCCCCTCTTCCCCACTCCACCCCAAACCCCCTCCCAACCGTCCCTCTGCTCTTTACATTTCCTCCCCGTTGTGTTTCCATTTCTTCTTTCTTCCTCAATCTTTCCTAATACCAAGGGAAGGATAATGGGCCAAACCCAGTCCTCCCTTTCCTTCCCTTTTTGCCAAGGTGTTTGTTCAGTTCCACATTTACATCCACATCTATCCTCAGTACTGTGCTCTACAGCAGAATGAGTCTTTTGGATCCGTACCCAAAAAGGCGCAGCCCTCCAGAAAGACCTGCTTTGCATCTGCTATTTCAATTCGCTCACATCTGTGACATTTCAAAAGGCAAAAATCAAGTCAGGCGACTTTTACTTCATGCAGCCCTGTCAATTATTTTTTTTCTTCCTTATTTCCTTTCACCAAGGCTTAGCTGCCTGCCTGTCTCCTCCTATCCTTCCTTCCATTAGGATTGTTCCCTTAAATCTACTATTTCTCCATTTCACGTAACTCATCTTTTGCCTCCTGCGTCTCGACCATCCATCCTTTCCATGAACTGCTTACTACCATCCCTTCCTTCAGTCCTCAGTCCTCCTCCACCTTGGGCTCTTGCATCTTGTTTCTCCTTTCGTCCTCATCCCGCCCACCCCCCTCCTCTCCCTAACCACTGTGCTCTCTTATCTATTTATTCGTGTCTCCTCTACCCCGTCTGGTATCGCCTGCCCTGAGGATCTGTGCTGCATGTGTCTGCTGGTGTGTTTTGACAGACAGGGTCCTGACCTTGTCTCAGACCCTGTTGCTGCACAGTCTGAGGGATGTGTCAGCCAATGCAAACACTCACATGCAACACCCGCCACCACCACATACAACACACAATCCTTTGAGCGCAGGCGCTTGTGCGTACGTGTGCATAACCCATGTGCTTTTACCTGCATGCGCATACGTGTAGGGGACCAGGAGCACGCACGTGAATCTGTGAACTCCCTCTCAGCTGTGCACTGGGCTCCCTGGGCAGATATTATCGTTTTTCTCAAACACGCACGCACACTTCTCCGTAGACACAAGCACAGAGAACCTCACCCGTTGGACTCTGCCATGTACAAACCGTGCGCCGCAATGTCATCAATCACAGCTCATTTAGCAGACTGTCGTCTACAATCCCCGCAAACAATTATTCATGTTACGCTGCCACTTCCTCATATGATGCTGGCAATTATAAACACACGGGGGCATTTCAATATTGAATGGAAGTGAGGGGGGGCACATATTAAGAAGGGAGGTCTTGGGCATCATTTCCTACATTGTGGTGATTTTTAATGGCTCAATTAATGGTGGGAATGTCAGAAAACCCCAAATGTAATCATAAAGTGGAATGCAGTACGGTTCTCAGACATTAAATTATCTGGATTCACTTTGTTTTTAATGTCTGAGTCCGCACGCTTGTTGCCATTTTGCTCTTCTGTCATCTTTTGTATCATTTTGGGGAAGAGACGTTTTGAAATGTTTGTATCTATTCAATATATTGATTATTTTTTCCCATGAATTTATAAACCCATGGATTTCAATAGCTCACAATTATGAAAATGTATCCCAAATATCTGAAAATGGCAACATTTTGAACGAAAGTAATAATTATGAGAATAAAATAAAAGTTTCAAGGAAAAATACCTCATAATACAAGAAAAAATCACATAAAACGTTACATTTCTTTTAATGGTTTTGCAAATGCAAATCATATTACTGATACAGACGATCGTAGGCATTTCCAAATGTGGTAGGCTCATATTCCCATGGTCCCAACCATAAATCACACCCATGCAAACCCAACCTAAATCCTATCATAAACCTCTAGTGCAGGGGTCCCCAACCACCGGTCCGCGGACCACTCTGTATCGGGTCGCAGCCCGTCGGGCGGTCCGTCCTCATCGACTACTGGCGCTTTTCGATTCCTCGGCTGCAACCCGCTTGTCTTGTTTTTCCATCCCCCTCTAATCCAAGTAAGCGTGGTGTCCGTTCATCGCTGGTTAATCTCAAACGGGGTGCGTTTTTTGTGGATTGTTTGCGAGCGTGCAATTAAGAGCCAAGTTCCCCTCTAAGCCGAAAAACCATCAGCAGTCAGATCATAGAAAGCTCTTTCCTCTTTAGACCCCATGTGGTGGTAAGGGATGGGAGATAACGGTGCACGTGCCTGTAGAAAGCACGTGTGTTTGTCTTTTTCATAAAACCTCCATCGGGGTGACAACAGCAGCGGCGAATCAATTCGCGGCCCATCGGTGTGTATCTGTGACTCGCTCGGTCAAATCAGGCAGGATTTGCACTTATTCCGCTGCACCGGGGGTCCCTCAGAATGCCTCTCCCATCTCCAGTGTCAATATCGTGTTCTCTCATCTCAGTGTTTTGTACATCCCATATAATCTGTTGCGTTGCGACATCAACAGCGTCTGATGCTTTTATTTGTTTGTGTGCCAACTGGGGGAACAAAAAAAACACTGTCTGACGCCTTTCTTTGTTTTCCTTTGCAGACAATGTGGCTACAGCAAAGCCTCTCAAGAGGGAGACGAGGAACTTTACTTCCAGTGTAAGTGACAGCGGTGATCACTCTATTACCGTATAACTCAGTGGGTGTTTGTGTTCACATTTTGAGGACTGAAGGCGGGCGGGGGGGAGGTGGGGTGTGTAGAGCATCTGTCAATCGATTCCTTATATTCCACGTGACGGAATGAATCTCAACGCACACATTTGGTTGCATTACACATTGACTTTAAGGCATTAAGAAGCACCACAGCATTAATTCTTAATTCTGAGTGCATGCTTAGCCCACTCTGAGCCCGCACACACACACTCCATTAGGTTGTGTGTGTGTGCGGCACTTCGATGGGGAGAGATTGAAAGACGGGTTAAAGCTCCAGAACGAGGCCGGCAGCGGCAGAGACTGCGCCTCCAAAACAGACGTTAAATGTTGTTTTGTGTGTGTTTTTAAACTCTGCTCCCAATAGGCTTTTCTGTTTAACAGCGACAGAATGGAGGCAGTTTGACATCTCTCCTCCTGTTTGTGTGTGCGTGTGCGTGCCAATGCTGTGTGTGTTTGGGGAGGTGGGGGGGGGGGCTCATAGCGTGCTCATTTTTCGTTGTTTAATCTCCCAGCATGCTGGGCCCTCTGGAGAGGTTTGGAGCACTGTGCTTGATGAATAATGAGCCGGAGCCATGTGGTTGGGAATTAAATCTGCCCAAACAAAGACATGTCAATAGCTGATGAGCACGCAATACACAGAGAGACATGCACACACACACACACACATGCATACAAATTCAATTTCATTTTTTTTCAAACAGACACACCGCTACATTTTTGTTTTGTAGGACACTTACATAAATTGGCACAAAGACAGACGCTCTGTAAAGTCCACTTCCTGTTTCCCGACTCAGGAGTCCCTGCCATGCAGCGTGACAGCTAGTGGTGGTCCTGTAAGCAATGATTTAACAAAGACCCTTAAAAACTCAACCCTCGACCATATATTAATGCGGTAAGACAGGTGTGTGTGTGTGTGTGTGTGTGTGTGTGTGTGTGTGTGTGTGTGTGTGTGTGTGTGTGTGTGTGTGTGAGCAGTGGAGGAGGAAGAAAGGGAAGAGGAGAGAGCCAAGGGCACAGTAACGGGGAGAGAGCCGCAGTACGGAGAACATCATAAGTGACAGCGCTCATAACGTTGTTTTATGTCCGAGTAGGTGACCTAGAAACATGGGAGAACGGATCAAGACTCATCCGCGCTCCAGATTAATAGACCACATTTATTTATCAGCCGGTTTGAATGGAGAAAGATGGCGAGGCATGATGGAGGCCTTCTGTGTAGAACGAAAATGTATGTGGACTGGAGACACTCTGTGGTCCACTGGAGATGACGCAGCCAAGTGTGAATATGCTTTAGTTTCCCCTCAATCGCTCATGACAGAGACACCGTTAACCCTGAAACTAATCAGCCACAGAGCCAATGAAGCGCGTGTGTGTGTGTCATTTGTGTATCTGAGCCATTGCTCATCTAAATGAGACATACACGTGTGTGTGTGTGTGTGTGTGTGTGTTTGTGTGTGTGTGTGTGTGTGGGGCCCACAGCTGGTTGCGCTCTACAACAGTGTTTGTGAAACATTTGACAGAAAAGACTTTGATCCTTCACTCGGCCTTGAATAGAAAAGGTTTGATTTGCCCCATAGCTTTATTTGTGTGTGTGTGCGCTCAAACATACGAGTGTGTTTGTACTCGCCAGCAGACCTGCGTGTGTGAGTGTTGGATCAATACGTTGTTATGAGGCAGCCACTATATGCCTCAAGTCGATCCACCGCTGTAATCACATTTCGGCCCGGCTTTTGGGAAAATTACGAGCCCTTTTCTCGGAAGAATATCCTTAACATGCAGTAATCAGGGTCAAAGGTCATCTTATCGAGAACTGTAGTTCACTGGTGAATGGTTATTGGTCGATGTGCTGTCCAGTTTATTTTGTGGTGGTTAGTACAGTTTTCGGCACTTGATAAAGAAAACAAGAGGCGATCGGCGGAATCGGTGCTTTTGTTCTGTTGTAAACAGTCGCGGTCAATTTCCGTTACTTATTAGGACGTCTTACCAGATGTCACCTGATGGACGGAGGACAGAGTAGTGCTATCTTTGAAGATGTCTTTTGGCCAAACACTCATTACTTTTTAGGGAGCCAAATACCAAACTGTCAAACCAACAAGCAAACAGCGAGCCTGCTGCCAAACGTGTCGTGGCACTTTCATCCTCTGCGTTTTACTTTCTACAAAGAACGTCCACATTTTTTGCCTGAAGAATATATTGTTTGTGTGTGAGCCTGTTATTTTGCGTGTGTGTGTGTGTGTGTTTAGTGAGATAACATTTTGAAGCAAGCAGGAACAGACAAAAAGAGGAGCCCTGTGATCTGACTAAAGCTGCATGGAGGAAACCCAAAGTCAGACTTGAGCGCTGGAAGCCTTTCATCAGGGTTTTTCTCTCCCTCTGGAGATGTGCAAGGTCAAAACTTACAGAAACAGAGAATTAGGCAAGTTGCGAAAACATAAACACAAGCATTTTGTATGCATCAAATAACAAGTCGACCAAAAATCCGCCACGAGCAAAGCATTTTAAATATTTTCCTATGCTGTGTATAACCACGGATAAACTGAGATGTTTAAAGGAAGCCTGCACGTGATTTGACACGCAGAAAACGATCAGAAGTCAATGGTAACCCCGAGCTGTCGATCCCAGTCCCTGGATAAAAAGAGCATGGACTTGTTTTCCTCGACAACATTTTGGGTCTTATGTTCAATAATCAGAGAGAAATGCTTTGTTCGCGGACACAGTGATGCCAATTTGTTCACCGACTGCAGCCTCAATAAAGCAGAAAGCAATGCGGCCATGAGAAATGCTTTGTGTTGAGCAAGCGGCTTCGCCATGGTAACAGACGTCTGTTGCTCAGCCATCCATATTTATTTCCTCATGCACAGTTTAATGGTATCTCAGTCCGAGTGTGGCTCCTTCTATCTGTTTTGTGCATCATTGGGACGTTTCTCCAATGGGACCAGCGCTGACTTTCATCTTTTGATGCATTTCTTTGTTGCAGACAAGCGTGTGGAGCGCACATTAGGGGTTGCTGTCTTGTCGATGTCTTGCCCCACCACTCTATGACTCTTAATCCCCTTCGCCCCTGATTGCACTGTGATCTTTGCTGCATGAACGGACCACGTCTCTTTAGGCACAGATGTCACAGTTCACAGCAGAGTTCTGTTTGGCCCGACCCGATGGAGTCTAACCTGGTTACCCGGAATGCCTTATAATGCATGTTTGTGTGTGCAGTTAAGATCCCCACCCGAAGGACCTACATCGACCCGGAGACCTGCGATGACCTGCTGCAGGCCGTGCACGCCTTCGCCAAAGAGCTGGACAACTCCAGCATTAAGATAGAGAGAATAGTGCACACAGGTAAGCGATTGTACTTCACATGGTAACAACGCACAATTGTTGCACATTTCAGCTCTTTGTTAGACCCTGTTTTGGACTTGAGAAAGAGCGGCACAGAAGCCATTTCACTCCGGTTTAACTGGCAGAGTAGAGCTACTTGAGATTAGAAAAATGATCTTGTGTAACCTGGCAAAGTGTTCCTTTGAATTTACAGCAGGACGTGACCACCACAATGGCTGTAAAGGGTATTGGTGCTCCTTTTCTTTAACGGAAGCAAAATCATTTTAAGCAATTCTACTGTGAAATATGGAAGGGCAAAGGCAGAGAGCAGAGTGAAGGCCATCGACAGCTGCAGTTCACTTCAACTCGACCTGCCTTGAGACAAATTGGAGAAACCAATTCAGCTCTTTCCGAATCAAGCTCCACTTTTTGCCTCGGCCGCACTTGATGTCCCACTGTTTCACCTGCACCCGGACCCCCATCTTTGATCTCCCTTTGATCCCAATTCATGTCCCATTCCGGTTATAGTGTCTGTTCATTTGCTTCATCCCTCTTTTATTTCTCCATCTGATTCTGCTCCAACTTGACCCCCGAACCACCCGTTCTCCCTTTCCTTTAATCTTTGCACAGGTATTACTCCATAGCATCACGGTGACTTGCAATGCTGTGCCATATTCCTTCCCCTTCTCTCTCTCACTGGTTTCTCATCAATCACTAGAGGGATGCTGACCCCTGTCTGTCCGTTCCCCCCTACAGGCGACTTCGGGGAAGTATGCCGCGGCTGCCTGAAGCTCCCCAGTAAGAGAGAGCTACCGGTGGCCATAAAGACATTACGGGCCGGCTGCTCCGAAAAACAGCGGCGCTCTTTTCTCAGCGAGGCCGGCATCCTGGGGCAGTTCGACCACGGCAACATTATCCGGCTGGAAGGCGTCATCACAACCGGTAAGGAGGCCGGTGACGCAGATCGAGCAGAAAGCGAAAGGCAGTTTGGTGAGGAAGGAAAGCGGGTGAGGATGAAAAGAAGCACAGAAGGAGACAAATCCCAGGTAGCCGAGGATCGGAGGAGGAATGGGATAGTTTGACCACTTCCGCTGTCATAAAGGGGGTTCATCACCTCCATTAGTGAGCAGGAAGGGGGGGAAAAAGAAGTCAGGCTGTAGGGAAGCAGAACGGGAACCATGTCAGTATCACTGGAGGCGAAAGGATCAGGAAGAACACTGCGGTCCACTTCAATATCACACGCGTGGAGGGTCAGCGCTCACAGCAGAGAGGGAGGATGGAAAAGAAGAAACGGGTTGAATAGCAGAGAGAAGGGATTTCCGTTCGCATCCGAGCCACATCGAGGACCGTTTTTGACTGACATGTAGCAATTGAGGTCCTAGAGTGAAAAACAAGACGGAGAAGAATTAGGACGGAGGGGAAAAGAAAAACGTTAGAGGAGGAGAGGGAGGGACAGGGAGACGAGGCACAGGTTAATGGGAATGGCAGGTGAAGGGGGAAGAAGTTTCTGTTACTGCCGCAGTGACGTGCGTGTGTGCGTGTGTGTGTGTGCGCGTGTGTGTGTGTGTGTGTGTGCGCGCGTGTGTGGCACGGTGCCCAAACACACTCTGTGCTCAGTAGGATGGCAGCAGATGTGCAGGCTACAGTAATTGGTGCTGGAGGCCCAGCGGGGCACTGAGATCCTCTCCAATCTCTTCCACTATCACGTGCGCAAACACTCACATATGTACATATGTACGGACACACACACAGTAATTTATAGACAAGTCACGTGCATGCTCCCTCACACACATAGAGAGGCCGTCCTGTATGCTCACTTTCTCTCTCACTATCAGTCACACACCTGATTGCTTCTCTCTTGGCATGAGATCACACGTGCATGCAGATAAACAGCACACACACACCGCATACTGTTAGAGTACAAACCACCTGCTTTACATCACTTACCCCCCCCTGCCTCCCCTCCGCCCTCGTCGTTCTCAATCAGCCCTCTTCCATCTCCTCCACCACGTCGCGCCCTCCTGCAGGCAGCCTCCTAACGCATGTTCTCATCCTCTCACCGTAAGGCCACGTGAATCATCACTCAGAATTTTGGGGGACAGTTTTGTTTTCTCTAAAATCATTCAAAGCTTACTATTGCACAGTATTAATTGGTTAATATTTGAACAAATATGATGTGATAATAATGTGAGTGCTAAAGACAACCGTCCGGCGTACGTTTCACACAGCAGGTGTTTTGCTTTAAAAGGTAAAACTACCAATAGCACAATTTAGAAATGAGAACTGTCCAGCTTCAAAAATCCCATTTGCAGCTCTTAATAGTTCAGATCATTATCAAGTGACATGATGTAAGTTCAGATAAAATGCCCTTTTAAATAGATCAAAATTGTAAATAATAACAGTAGTAAAGCTAATGTACCAAATGACTTTCCACCACTGATTTTATGATATAGCAATAAGGTGATTTGATACCTTCCAGGAGTATTTTAACATCTCAGGGAGCAAACTGCTCTTACTCTCAACCGTCGGTGGGAGAATCTAGCGAGCTGTTAATCCGATCCAATGCGGCTGCTACTTCGGCGCGTGACGGTGAAGATCAGAGTCCACTAGGTCGCTTTGTGAAGTATGATTGGCTGTGACGAGGTTTGTCCTCTTTCAGGATGTGGCGATATTTTCTCCTCCAGGGGATATTTCAATTTCCTTCAGCTCCTCCGACAGGCTGACGGAGCGCGTACCAGACGTAGTTTTGCCACTCGCTGTTTGAAGCAGAGGAGTAAAGTGTTTGCTTTTCAATACGTCTTCAGATTCTGACTTACGAGCGCGTTAGACGCAATTTGTACGCCGAAGCAGAAAGCATTTTTTCCCCCGACTCCCCCGCTCTGTCAGACAATCAATTTCCCCCCCTCTGCATTTCTGTTAAACATCTGAAACACAACGCTTTTTTAGCAGGAGATCACCTGACAAAAGCTATATAATTATTTCCAGTAGCTCCTTCTATCCGTCATCCTGAGCAACACACCCACACACGGTTGAACCCTCTGCATCGCATTAGTGACGGGATTGGCTGCCGTATCCGTGTCTCTGTGCCGACCCACAGTGCTGCGGCTGGTAACCTTTTCCAAATGGCTTCCTGAGAGCCCGCTGATCTGGCAAACCATCAATTGTGGACGTCCTAATGCCAAGTCGTGATTTTTTTGTAATGTGCCCTCCATAAACTGCCGGGACTGATTGCTTATCGTATATCATTCTCAGCGCTGTACGGACCCATAAAGGTTTATTTTACTCTCTCTAGCTCCCTGAATCCACTCCCCCTTTCTCTGTGTTTTCCGCTGCACTCCGACTGCTGCAGTCTCATTTTCCTCTTCTGTGCACTTCATAGCACTGCTGGATCTCTGCCATCTGTGCCTGGCCCCAGTGTGTATGCATGTATCGGCTGTGGTTGCACGGAATGTGTGCGAGTGAGTGTCTGAGGGTTGTTAAACTTTCTGAGACAGGCAGGGCATCACACTGGTGCTTCTGGCTTCACCACAGTTCACTGGGTGAAGAATTGCTTTGCACAATGGCTGCCGTGCTGCCAAGTGGACTAGACTTACTTTATTCTCCCCCCCCCCACACCTCCTTCCCTGGTTCTCCACGTCTCTACTACCTTCTCACTTTACTCCCCCCGCCCTTGATTCTCTCCGCTTTACCTCGATTTCACCTATTATTCTGCCCTCCTGTCTTCCTCCAGGTAACACCATGATGATCATCGTGGAGAGCATGTCAAACGGGGCCTTAGATTCCTTCCTCAGGGTAGGTTTTGTGTGATTAAATGCACATATGCAGACGTGTTTGCTCTTTGTCTAATAACAGCGTTAAGCCCCGTCATTATCGGCCGTTTCACAAACAAGGGCTTTTGCTCTAATGATCCTATATGCACTATTATTATAATGCAGTCCTGGGGCAGCAGTACTTGGGCTTATTGCAGTAATAAGGAAATGTACCATAATTAACGGCACAAATGGAGTGACTCTGCTGTAAGCCTCTGTAAACTGTTATTGTGCCCCTCTGCTCTGTGAACCACTGCGGCGTGGTTTATAATGATATGAATTAATAGCCTGTTTGTTTTTATTGTCCATATAAAGGGATTTAACTCAGCGAGCACATCATTGTAGTGTAGTAGCAGATGTGCGGTTCTTTTCAGGATCGTTGTATACACAGTGTTTCCTCTCTTCCTCTGTCCTTCCTTTTCCGTTCACTTCCTTCCTGTCGCCTTTCTCTCTTTTCCGTCTCCTCTCTCACGTTTGTCACACATAACCTCAGAAACACGAAGGCCAGTTGAGCGTAATGCAGCTGATGGATATGCTGACCGGTGTGGCCTCGGGGATGAAGTACCTCACCGATATGGGCTTCATCCACAAACGGCTGGCCGCACACAAGGTAAGGGAGCAGGGGGGAGGAGATGGGGGGGGAGGGGGGGAGGTTGAGCATACAATTCATCTGGGTCTGACAAGGTCTTTGACAATCGCTTGGCTGTAGGTTTTATTTACCAGACAAGACAATACTGTTGAAAATCACTTCCCTGATGGGACTGCAAACGCAGGGGTGACGTTGCAGAAAGACGAAGCACAGCAGAATTTGTCATAAACATTCAATTGTCCACTGACATTGTTTCCCCTCCAAATGTTACCAATCAGGTGCTGGTTAACTCTAACCTGGGCTGCAAGGTGTCCGGCTTCAGACCTCTTCAGGAGGACAAGATAGAGACCATCTACACCTCGCAGGTGAGAACACACTGTTATAAACACAATTATAATGGGCCATGATCAGCTAGTATGAAGGATCATAGAGGGACGGTTAAAATGAATGACGATCAGAATACAATGCATTACAACCAGCAATAAGAAGGTATTATGACATTGGACCTAATGAGTCAAATTAGGAAATGCTTTAGAATTTGCTATGGCTATTGTTAATTATGTTGAGTATATTCATGAGTGCCTTTAATTGGGACCATACCGTAAATCATAAATGGTATTTTAAGTATGTAAAGTGATACCAAAAACATGGAAAAAACTTTTTAGATTCAGTTTTTTTCTAATTAATGACCATCAGAGTGGCACGAAGCCTCACGTTCACATATATTACCAGGCAGTGTTGATATTTTTAATGAGACTATGCGACTGGCCAGGTTCAGTTCATACGATTAAGCTCTCAGGAACCAGAATATATATCTTTAGCTGCTTTATTTCCCTGAATACTTTTTGGTTCCACTCAAGGTGAACCCATTCTTTTGATCTGCTGAAAAAGCTTCTCAAAGAATATTAAAGCTTAACTGCTACGAACTCTGCACACCCGTTCACCGGCTGCTCTCCTGCTGCAGCACGGAGGGAAGAGCGTGGTGCTGTGGACCGCTCCAGAGGCCATCCAGTACCACCGCTTCTCCTCGGCCTCAGATGTCTGGAGCTTCGGCATTGTCATGTGGGAGGTCATGTCCTATGGAGAGAGACCCTACTGGGATATGGGCAACCAGGACGTGAGTGTGTGTGTGTGGGCGTCTGTGAGGGGAAAAGCTTAGAGATAGGAGGGTGCTTTTCCATTAGTCTCCCCAGTCATGTCCTTTATATTCTCCCCTCCCTTCCTTTTTTATAGAATATCTGCACTTTAAGTCTCCCTCCCTCTTTCACCCCCCTCTATCAATGAACTCCGTATTCATGCCCAGCTTGGATCTTATTAAAAGTAGGCCAAGAAGCCACAGTGCCTCCGAAAGCTTTCGCCGAGTCGAGTCCCTCTCTTTTAAGTCCGCATCAGCTCCATGACCAATCCTGTTTTCTCTTAAGGACGCATTGAACCCCTTCTAGTGCCCCCCCGCCTCTCCCAGAATGCCATCCTGGGGTTAAAACTCTTCTGGAAAGAAATCTTCATTCAAGTAAATCTAAAGGGTTGAGGAGATCGACCCTGTCGATCGTCAGTAGAAACCGACACAATGGTGCCCGTTTTTGTCCTTCACAAAACAAAAAGGTGTTTTTTATTTGACTTTGTGCTTTTAAAGTGTGTGATGAAAGTCTGCTAAAGAGGCAAGACAGAAGATTATTCTTTGAGACTATTTTTCTTGTTAAGCCAACAACACACGGGGCAGCAAAAGGATGATTCTTAAGGGTAATTATGCTAATGGCCTCTCAAATTACTGGCATCACAAATGAATGCCTCTTCTTTATGCAGAGAAGAGCATAGTTCAAAATCAGCGGATTATTAGCATGTTTCTTTTTTGGGGTTCAAATTTGATACGCATGAGTTATTCAGCCGGCGCAAGAATGTTTTGTTTTTTTCCCCCCTGGTGCCGTTTCCCCCGAGCAGAAACTTTTCCCTCAGCCGGTTCATATTATCAAACTTCCCAATTGGGAGGCCAAATATCAGGATTGTGGAGCGCCGGGGATATTAATCCACTTTAAACTGATACATTATATCATAACGGAATTGTTGCTGGTGGTCCACCTGTGATCCGCGGTGCCCTTTACCTCCCCGTTTTGATTAAATGGAAAATGTCAAATGGTGAAAATCCTTTTATGAACGCTCTTTAGTGCGATGGGAGCTTAAGGGGCCGAGGGGACGGCGGAGTGAGCTGCCGCTTGGTAGAGAGAAGAAAGAGTGTTTCAGGAAATAATGCCGCTGATGGATGTCATTTCTGTTATTGTGCTCCAACTATTTCCTCCTTTCAGGAGATTGTATCTCTTGGAGTGGTGCAGGAGGAGGACGCACTGTGGGCCCCTGCGTACCCTGGGAGGACATCTCCTGCGAGGTGTCTCTCTGAATGGGTTTTGAGTGGAGACAACATTAGTTTGATGGAGGAGCGAGCGCCATCGAGGATGCTCTGCTGCTGGGAGACAGTGAGGTCTCACAGGGTTGGATTTAAAAAACGCTGAGCTGAGATGACCCATTGTGTCTGACTTTGTCCCTTATCTTTTAGACTGTCTCAGGTAGAACAAAATAATTTGTTTTGTCTCTAATTTATCTTGTGGTTTTTATTCCACAGACAAACAACAAATTCCACTATAAGAAATTCAAATATTTGACTAAAATGCTCCGCTGATGGCAGCACAACTATTGTAATACCCAATCAAATATCCTGTGAAGCGCCCCTGAGACATTGAATATCCTGTGGCGTGACCTTTCAATCCGCAGACGGCCTCTGGCCGGGATCCTTTCTTCTCTCTCCCATAATCGCTTCACCACTCACTATAAGGTTCTAGTGTTTGAGTTTTGAGTGGAGACATCGCTGAATACGTGTAGTTTGGGTTAGCAGTACCTTTCTGTGAAATTCTGCAGTTGGTGCTCGCCTCACAAGGTGACCTTACAAGATGCTGCTAGCTAAACAAGCTATGCAATGGAACATTATAGGCGGCGTTTTTAGTGACCAGGGAAAACAAGAGCTTTTCTTCTCTTATTTATCCAAGCAGGTTCTGTTCTGTTCTGTGGCGGATTCTTTCTAACCCCATACATCCCATAGGTGATTAAGGCCATCGAGGACGGCTTCAGGCTGCCGGCTCCCGTCAACTGCCCTCCACATCTCCACCAGCTGATGCTGGACTGTTGGCAGAAGGAGAGGACGGAGAGGCCCAGCTTCAGCCAGATCCACTCGGCCCTCAGCAAGAGCATTCGCTCCCCCGATGGCATCGGTTCCTCCACGCTGGCCCGCAGGTACGGCCCGGTAGCGCGTGGGCTCAGCAAATGGACGGTGGAGCGTGCGGTAGTTCCAACAGATTCCCCCTGCTTCTTGTCCTGCAGAACCCTGCAGAGTTCATCCATTACCATAGCAGAGAGGCCTCTGCCCTCCTTCCCGTCCTTCAACTCGGTGGGAGAGTGGCTGGACGCAGTGGACATGGGCCGATACAAGGACAACTTCACTGCTGCAGGCTACTGCTACTTGGAGTCTGTGGCCCGGATGACTGTACAGTAAGTGGCTTTACATAACTACGTGACCTTTCGTTTCCTGGTCCAGAGACGGTGGCTTAGTAAGATAATTAAAGGAACAGAATATTTTAACAAGCTGAATTTACTGCTCTTTGTGTTATGTAATGTGTTATGTTAGAGTGTAACTGGCATCACAAGACGTCACCATGGCCTTCGGGGAAGTATAATGGGCTTTCTTACTCGACAAGAATTAAAGGAGAAACCAGTAGGCATAATTATCTTATCTTATTAAAATGAAGCCAAGAAGACCTTTTTTTGGCTTTTGCCGAGCCGACGTCTTCATCTTTAAATCTGCGTCGGCTCCTTGACCAATCCGGTTTCTCTTGGGAGAAGAAAATCATTTGTTGCAACCCTAAAATAGGGTGAATAAACTGTATAATTATTTAATGCATATTCGCACAGGACTGCACCAGCTTTTTATACTGAAGATAATAAACAAGATTGTTGAATAATATAAATGTATTTATATTATGTATTCATATTTATGTGTGTTCACAAAGACCTCTTGTTTGGTAAAAGCCAAGACGTCTCTCATGGTGCACAATACAGCACACATGGCAACAGAAGGGTGAATGTTGAGGAATCTTCATTTGTTTTTTGTTGGTGATGTTTGATATTATTGAGAAATACTTTGGAACAAAGTAAAGATGCATATTTGTCTTTATGCTCATGGAGTCCCTCACCAATGACATCATTACCAATATTCCTCTTACTTCTTTTCTCCACAGAGATGTACTGAGTCTTGGCATCACTTCCCTTGAGCACCAGAAGCTGATCCTGGCTGCCATCCAGACCCTCAGAGCCCAGGTCATCCAAATGCACGGCCGCGGTGTGCAGGTCTAACGGGAGAGAGAGAGTGAGAACGGGAGAGCGAGAGAGCGAGAGAGGGAGAGAGAGAGAGAGAGGGAGAGCGAGTGAGCGCGAGATTCTTTTCTGCGAGCAGTGCGCTCGTCACATTTGAGGGATAGCAGAGGGGTCACCTGACTGTTTAGTGACCTCTGTATGTATTTCGATATCTCCACCTCCCTGGCTCTGGATCAGTCGGCCCGAGGCTGACCTTTGAGCGGGAGGCGACGGGTGCTCGTATTGGACGTATTGAATGGATTTTCCCCTTACGGCCGCATTGAGTCACTAAAAACTCCAAGTCGCCAAAGCCAGGAGCGACTGCACTTGTAGCGGGTGGAATTGCTCTCCTCTTACAACAGTCGGCTGATTTTAGCAGGAGATGATTTTACCGAGCAGATACAGGATCATATCATCGTACGTAGGAGGTCTCTCATCCGATGAAAAAAACATTTTTGAAATGAGCTCAAACATGGCTGCACTAGCAGAAAGACTGTGCGGTCCCACGACGGGGGTCCGGTGTGTGAGGTGAGCTGATGTCATGAACACAGCTGCTGTAGGTCATGGGGGACGATATGCTGGACTTTCAGGAGCAATCTTTTTGATTGTTCTTAATCTGTGGTTTGTTGTCCTTTTCACTACATCCACTCATAGTTACTTAGTCCTACATAGTCCTTTATATCCAGTTATTTTCTGTTGTTCCCTACTGTTCCCTTTAGCCCGCTGATTGTCATCTCAGTAAAAAAATAATCCTCCTCCAAAGCCTCTCTCACTACCATGTTTAATACTCTGGAAGATGACCCGCTTCAAATATTTATTTATGTTTACAGATTGTAAAAGACCCTCTGCAGAAAAGAGCACAGGGGGGTTTATTTAACTTAGTGTATAAAAAAAGACAAACAAAAGAGTTATGTCCTCTAGTTTTGTTCCTGTTTAGTCATTTTGTTTTCATATGGCGAGTTTATAGCTGAACAAATGAGTCGTTTGTACACAGGAAGTGGAAGGAACACTGGAGGGTTTTTACTGGCCGCACACAGTATCTGTGTATTCAATACTGAGGTTGGTACAGTTCAGTTTAGGTCCATTTAATTGGATTTTCTGTACACAATACAATGTGTGTGTGTGTGTGTGTGTGTGTGTGTGTGTGTGTGTGTGTGTGTGTGTGTGTGTGTGTGTGTGTGTGTGTGTGTGTGTGTGTGTGTGTGTGTGTGTGTTGCAGTAAGGACACAATATTAAAGAATGTCTAATGGATTTTGTTTTCTCTTTGTAGCTGTTGGATCATCATTTTGATTTTACGTTGCTGTGAATATCGTGCTCTGTCATACAACATGGTTGCACTTTTTTGCAGATCCTTCCTACTTTTTCTGATCCCCCCTCCCTCTCAAACCAATTCCATACTGGACATTTAAGGACGTTTTTTCTCGGGGCATTATTTGATTTTCCCAAGACAAGGTACAGACATTTTGGACTGGAAATTGTTACTGGTTTGTATTCGGGGGAAAAAGTAGTTTTGTTTGTTTGTTCTCCTTGTAGTCCACTCGCTGTAACCGTTGGTCCAACAAGTAAACTCATATTTCCTTATAGATGTTATCACACACATGTTAATATCTGAAAAACGCTCTGAATTACACACACACACAGACGCTACAAAGACACACAACACATACTGGACCTCCTCACCACGATGAATGAAACTTCCACATCTTTCCCCCTCCATGTAACTGTGACCATTATGTTATATGTTTAATACTGTAAATATGTATTTGAAAATGCTAAATCTATTTTTATAATTTGTTTGAAGAACAATGTGTTGAATATAATATATGCTCACTGTGTAAGGGTTTTATTTGTTTGAATTTAGGGCCACAGCCAAGAAACTCTGGTTTTTGGAATACATAACTGGGAGGAAAAAAAATCTTTTTGTTTTTTGATGATTTTTACCTGTTAAAAGAAAATCAGATGGCTGTTGCAATATTGAAAGTGTTATTAAAAAATCTCCAATACAGGCAAATGTTTTTTCCTCCTTGTCTTCTATTTTAGAATGCAGTGTAGAACTTCACTGCTGCCCAACCAATACTCTGTATTTAGGGGTTGCAATCAGAATTAACTGAAGATACAGAGAGGCATATTTTGATCACTTGATCACTTCTACTGGATAACTAATTTAATGGCAATGTTTATAAATCACATCAAACACAAATCTGCACTGATATTTCCTTCATATATTCATGAATATATTTATTCATGCTGCATTTGACATATAAATGCCTATCTACAAAAGAATCATCCAACATATGTCGGTCTAGTACTATGACATCACAATGCACAAAAATAATCGTTTATTAAACTTTTATGGCAAGGCCCTTTCAATAAAATGCTGTATTATAAGTTTTGTTTTATGTTTTGAAATGTATTTGAAGAAAAAAACGGGCTGTCAACATAAATGCGATTAATGTTGCTGAGATTAATGCGACTAAATATTTTAACGTTAACGTACTTTTGTTTACTTCCGGGAGTAAACCGGAAGTTGACTGCGGAAACGGCCGCTAGTTGCAGTCGGCACATCCGAGGAGGGCACATCCGAGAGAGCAAGTCGGCAGCTTAAGACGGATGGAGCCTTTTGCATTGGAAGTAAAACAATCCGAGGCGCGACATACAGCGGATAACTGTGCAGAGGAATTCATCCACGTGTCAAACAGGAGGGAGGTGAGTGGCAAACGGATCACTTAAAGCACCGCTATGCTAAGCTAGCTGCTAGCCTAAGCTAGCTGGAAGAGTTGCTCGTTTAACATCTTCCACCTGGTGTAATTCTGCCTGTTCTTTGTTTAAAAATACCATTAACAATTAAACAACTGTCTAAAATACACCTTTTCTAAAGTGTTTTACTTGTAAATAATGTGTTTATGACAGATTATAATTTTCTACATGCTATTCTATGACTTCTTTGGACATGCTATGATGTAATTGATATGTTTTGACACTATACGATAGGTTTGTCTTTTGATGTGCTCTTTTATTTCTTTTTCAGGCTTATGGGTTATATCGGTCATAGTGACTTTTTATGTTTTTCGACATATACTGTGCTGTATATGCTATATTGTAACATTTTTTTTCTTTTTTTATTAACTATAATTTTGTTGGGGTTTTTTGGAACTTTTATTAGAAAAAGTGCCTTGACATTCGGTCTCTCACAACATTATATTATATTACGAGTGAAGACCAAGTAGTTGGGTTTACATATTTTCCAATCAATCCAGCATGTCCAGGAAAATGCATTATAACCGGGGTCCATTTTACTGAGTAAATGTCCGCCCGGAGTTGTACACTTGCCGTTCATTATTCCATACACTTCCCAGCCTGCAGCCTCTGGGCCCACTGGTCGCCGGTAGGTCGTTGGGGCCTCAGCCAGTTATTTACTGATCATTTTGTGCAATTGTTGGCAATTAACATCTAAGCTTTGATTATATAACAATTAGTTTTTCCCAAGCCTCCTTGAAGGGGTAGTTTATTTTTTTTTCAACATACTATTTTATTACTCCGATGTCCGACATGCTATAGTATGACATATTTTTCTACATAGTATTTTATTTGACAAGCTTGGACTTTTTTTGATATACTATACTGTGACATTTTTATGACGGGCTAAACTTGCCTTTTATTTAACTTTGATTGACTTTCTCAACTTCATTTTCCTTTTACCTTTTGTGACAAATATTTTGCACCTTTTTTTTTTTACCTCAACAATTTTTTTATTTCTAAATTCTTTGATTTGCTATACAGTGAATACATAATGAGTTTCTAAACATGTTTTGATACTGTTATTTTTTTAACATGCTTATGCATGCCTGTTCTTCTGGGTAAAGCTGGTACAAAACTTGAGATTCATTCAACTGCAAAACAAATCAAATAACATCTTGCTTGTCGACCTCATAGTGAAACAAAAGACAAAGTTAACAGAAAAGAGGTTAGACCGAAATGCCACCATCCCTACTCAATCTGTTTGTGTCAATTGACAGAATGTGAACGTTTCAACATGCTGACTGGCAATTCTTTTTTTAATGGAAGATAACGGTTGCAGGACCTGAGGGAACCAGGCCTCTTGAACCTCAAGCTTGGAGGCCAGAACCAATCTGCTCCAGGTAACAACCTACACACCCACACACGAGCAATCATCCACTCGGGCCCATCAGCCAGCTTCACCTAACAGCAGGAGGGCGTTCCACGCAAATACACAGCTTTCGCCACGTTTTTTTTTTTTTTTTGGCATACTATCCCCAGATTGATTACTGTTGACGTGTTTGAACAGTTGCTGGCTATGAATAATAGTGAACAGGGTTAGCGCCAAAGTTAGCCACCATGTAGGTTCAGTTTTGACCATATTTGAGAGATTCAAGTGAGATTTGTGCATCCCTTAAAAAAGACCCTCCCAGCAGATTCTGGTTTGTGGCACGTTGCCGGGAACAGGCTAGATGCATTGAGCAGCTACATTATAAGTGGATGAGAATGAGGTTAAAATGAACAGAAGGCCTTCAATCCTCCCCCCTTAAGGCTTCCTGGGCGTCTTGTAATACTTAATTATCCAATTGTGAAAGGTTAATGCATCGTATTCCCCTACAACAAGATTTAACTTCTGGTTAACTCTCCTCGCCTGTCTTTGTGGTTTTTGATTTTCTCTCTGAACTTAATAAGGTTCTGTCTCTTGGACAGAGGTTATATTACTCAGGTTATATTAGAAAAACGCCCTCCTTTGGACTAGTACTGAGCGAATGGGAAATTATTGTAAATGCAAATGAAGTTATTATGGGATTGATGTGGAAGTGAGTGTGCCCACTGAGGTCAGTGACTACCCAATAAGCTCTGTATGTGTGTATCATGTGTGCAAATCTACTTCAAGTTCCACAGTGCACGAGTTTGCGGGTGCAATATGTCTTATTTATCATGTAGTTGCAGGAGCAATCCATACTTTTATATTAACTTCTTATTTGAGTTGAGGATTGGAGCCTGAGACTTAATGAGTTTCATCGCTGGCTTCAGCTCTCTGAGGCTCCCACGCAGCGACACGCAGCTCTCAGAGGCTGCGCAGCGAACAGAAGCGTGTCCTCATTGTCTTGTGTGCATTTGAGATGCGATGACAATGTCAGGCTTATCCAGTTTAAGTGTATGATAATCAAGCTGCTGGCTCCAAAGACTCTTAATGCATTTTGATGGACAAATTGTGGGTTTGAATTAAAGCGTAGTAAAGGCCATTCTATTCTATTTGGGAAATACAATTTAAAAGCTACTCTTAAAGAAAGCATTGGCTGCTATCTACATAATGTAAATGATGACATTTTAAGGGCCTTGACACGTGACTCTTGGCTGCTGGGGGTCATGAGCCATCTTGCAGCTGCACGCATGCCAAATGAACCGAACAGCGGCCTAATCGACTGCTCCCTGGGTCCCGCTCCCTCGTGGTATAATATTATGAATGCCGTTAGTTTAAATGTGATGTCTTAGTATGCAAACAACATCTCCCACGGTAGCATCTCACTGGCGAAGGGGGGTCTTTTAGTTGGTATTAACACGCTTTGCACGGTTTGAGTGTAAATCTTTGATTCGATTTGCCTGTTTATTCACTGTAAATGAGGGGCAGAGATTCTTGTGAGAGATTAAACCAGATCATGTTTCAAAATGCAAAATATAGACAGCTGTTCTAAAAAAACAACACTTTTCAAGACCACGTTCACTTTGTTTAAGGCCTTTAAATAACTTCATCAAAAGGGCCGATACCTACACCTTTTTAAATATATTACTTACAGCAGCCTCGAAGCGTATTACTGTTCGATAGCTCAAGCTGAACCTTCGCACACGTAATTCACTGATTAAAAAGCTACGGGCCCTATTAGTCAGATGGATTCATGGAGCCTTACGTGTATTTAATTCTCTCCTGTGACTGGATTATAAAGCAAAAAGGCCAAATGTCCTTTTGCACCAGCTGAATATAAAAAAGATTAAATAGAAACAATTAGATTTTGTGCTGTTGGGGAAAAACTTAGTCGTGAAACTAATATCTCCCCCGGTGCTCTGCACGTGATGTCCTGGCCATTAGTACACAAACAAGTCCTTTTGATCGACTTCATCGCTAAAGGATATACAACATTATAATAAAGTAAACTGTTGTCAAGGCAAAGGACACATGAGTCCAGAGAGGGACCAGCACGATTGAAAGAGGCTCACAGGAAAGCAGACGACACCTCAGTAAGAAGTGATTCCCAGCTGTGCGAGGAGACGCTTCTCGTCCTCCGTCCGTCCCTCTGCTCCGTGTGAAGATCAAAGCCAGCGGCATAAAAGGGGAGAGCAGTCCACCTCTAAGCTGGTGTGAAGGGGAAACTTCCCCAGCACAAAAGTTCTGCTCTTTGCCGAAGCTCAAATCGGCTTTGAGGAATTAATCCCTGCATTATGGGGGCAGCGAAGTAAACAAACGGAGGACAGGATGGGGACCTGCGAGTGTGAGACGGTGGGGCTTTTGTAGGTAAAAGCTTGTGTTCCACCAGAGAAAAGGAGCCGTGTGAAGGGGGGTGGGGGTGGTGAAGGGAATGAAGCAGTAAACGCCTGCTGAGTCCTCCGGGACACAGAGCAGCACTCTTAAACCTCTCTCCGTCTCTCATATGTCCAGCTTATTACTGGCTTTGTCTTTCCAGGCTCCATTCAACCACTTTGCCCCTGTGGCAAAGAGTCATTGTCTGAAAATCCTCCCCCGCTTTCCCCAATCCCGTCCCTCCCCTGAGAGGGTACTTAGATAAAGCCCGGGGTTCAGTCTGACGAAATCAGAACTTTCCACTGAGCGCAGATTAAACTCTGAGTGACCGATCGGACAACTTCTCTCCGTCTGTGGTTTGCTGCCGGTGTCAACGTCCTTTTCCCTTTTTTGACAGTTTAAACGGCCGTCCGTCCTGAGACTCTGTGTAAGTGCACTTTCAGTCTCCTTCCGCTTCACTGTGTCAACCATATTTGTGCCGTCTATCATCACTCAGTCTCCTGACTGGCTTTAAAGGGAGTTACTCCCATCTCTCTCCCTTCACAACTGCACGGAAAAACTCTTTGTTGTATTCTTCTACCGTTGCTTAACACGGACTTACTCGTCTCAAATTAATAGCAGATGGACCACAAAAAGAATTTAGCAGAGCTGACTGACGGTGACGTGACACCCAGCTTTGACCTTGAGATGTTTGGCACATAGTGACGCATTGATTGCGTGGTCGCATACTGCCACCCGCTGGACTAAATTAAAACTGCACCCAAGACTAATGACACATTTGAAAAGTAAGTCTATTGATTTCAATGTACTGTGATGGTACTCCTACTTGCATTACCTTTGGTCCACCCCCCAATAACTATATGAATTAAAACAATTCAGAACTAATGAAAACTTCTTTATTGTAGCACATCAGACAGTATCTAAGATTCTTTACCAGATCATGTTTCTTTCTCCAACAGGACTGTGTGTTTTCCCAAAAACACCCGTGACACCGTTCTCTCTCTTCAATCGATCCAGCTCAGCCCCAGTGTCTCGGCGATGAAGGAGAAGATGTGCGTGTCCTCCAAGATGGCCTTGCTGGTGGGTTTCCCTGCACCGTGCCCACTGCGGGTGTCCACCCTGACCAGCAGAGGCTGCCGCTGCACGGAGCTGCTGCCTACTCCGTGCTGCAGCGCCGCACAGTACTTGAGGGTGTGGAGAGGCACCACGCGGTCATCGTGATCTGCAGTCAGAAGCAGGACGGCTGGGTAGGGGGGGCCGGAGTAAGGTGGCTGCGGCACATTATGCAGAGGGGAATACCTGCAGGGAATCCCAGGGGAGAGAACATGAGCTTTGGTTGTGTAATAGACTTTCAATACATGTGCAGGAGCGTCGTGACCCGAGGAGACCTTCAACCTTTCTGCAGCATCACGAGTTCTGTTTTTCACTGCCTGCCCCTCTGTTTTGTATCTTAAATGTATTGACCAAAAGGCTTGGTGTATATTATACAGGTTTGTAATTTCCATGGGTTAAAAAACAAATATCCTGGCTCGGCCCTTAAGAGCATTGAAGCTGACAAAGACTAAACAAACGGTTTACACTAATATGCACAGAGTTGTGTAGTCTTGATATTCAAATAAAAGAAATCCCATGACAACATACAATCAACTGTGTCCAGTAGGTGGACAAATGGAAATCCACTTATAAACACTGCCTTCCTTAAATTGTGCTGCAATCTGAGCAGCATGTGTCAAAATGACTCATGTCAGCTGAGCCCAAGTTGTACAACTGTAGTATGAAGTCATTATCGTTGGGACAGTCGTAAATCCTTAATTCTAGTGAAAATGTTTTTTTCTGTAGCATAATTGAAACTACTTTTTAATGTGCAATCCGGCTTTGGATCTAATACCATAAACCCACTCGGTGGCGCAATAACTACAGCGTGTTCTCATGCCGCATCGAGCGTATTCCAGTGATTTGTTGCGTCTGTTTTCATACTTGATGAGCCACTCAAACTGCTCCGGGTCGTCAGAACAGCCGTAGTCGGTGGTCCACGCGTGGCCGATGGTGAATTTGTGGAACTTGAGCATATCCATCACCCCCACTTCTGCCACAGCACAGCCGAACAGGTCTGGACGCTGGTTCACGCATGCCGCTGTGTATGCACATTTAAAATGATATCCCCTTTACGTCACATGTAGGACAAAGCCCTAAATGCCACTTGCACACTGTGGAGGAAGCCATTAGTTGGGTTTGTGTGGCGCCATATGGCAGCCAGCCTCGGGTTAGATGATGAGACTAAGCTCTGCTTAATGTGCTGTTTAGTTGATACATTAATTGAAGCTCAGCAGCAAACTACAGTTAAATGAATATTAAATTATTAATCATGCCAAAGTGGTTACATAACGCACACATTGTGATCAATGCAGCTGGGACTTGCAATGGACCATCTTACTTAATTTAGGATATGTACAGTAAATGTGGGGAGGAGGCTGAAATAAAGCTCCGTTCAGCAGACATGTGTGAGGAAAAGGGGCAAAAGAACCCGAGAAAAGTTGGAGCTATTTTACTCACTGCTGTCCCCATAGATCCTTAAAGGAAAACAATCCTATTCTGTACAGTGAAGACTTTTTAAAACAAAACATTGGGTTGCATAATAACCCATTACATTTATTTTCCTCCATCTACGGCTTTCACACTGAATAAGTCGGGCACAGAGCCGATCCTGTACTCACCCACTAGCAGGCCGCCGTTGGAGGCGCCGTTGATCGCGATGCGGCCGGCTGTGGTGTATTTCTCCTGCACCAGGTACTCTGCTGCACACTGGAAGTCGTCAAAGCAGTTCTGCTTGTTCCCCAACGTGCCGGCTGCGAAACACACAAAATAATCAGCAGAAGTTGTGTGAACGCAGAATTACTCTAGAAAAAGGTAAAAGTAGGAAAATATATTGAGGCACATCTTTACAGGCCCTGTGCGACAGAATGACGCCCACTAAATTGACAAGACACTTGTGAACATAAGAATATGATCTAAAAATGGGTTGTTGGCATTAAAATTGACGTAATTTCTGTGCAATATTTTTAGTTAGAAAACAATGAATGAATGAAGTGAAGTTAGTTATATATAAAAATAAAGTGAATGCTAGTATTAAATAGTTTATATATTATAATGCAATTCAGGCGCAGGAGCCTTCAATGTCCCTATAAATGTAAAGTAGAAAAGAACACCTGATGTCATGAGTGTTTTTTCTCACTGAGGACCTTTGCTGGATAGCCGTAGTACATTTGTGCTCTTTAATATGTATTGTACTATTAACTGTAGCGTACAGTTCATGGTTTGTGTTATGCTAATGTTAGCATTCATATGGTAATTGCCTAGCAACATAAAAAAAATGGGAAAAATTCTGCAAAACACTTTGTCCGAACAGGGCACACAATCACAATGGGGAAGCATTTAGTTGTTAAAAAGTGTGCACAGTAATGTGGGAGTACATTGCTTGGATGTGTGTACCTTTGTGCCAGGTGAGCCCGTACTCTCCACCCCCTCTGATGTTTGCCACGGCCAGGATGCCTCCCAGGTGTCTCACATACAGCAGGTATGCAACACTGGCCACAGACAGACACAATCAATGTTCGAGCAGCAGAAGTTATGTTGAAAACAAACATGAAAGCTTTCACAGACGGGACGAGACAGCAGAGAGGTTCGTGTTAAGAGCAGAGGATCGTTGTGCAGACGCTGATAGTCCACCAAAACCCCCATTTGAGTCATTCTGGAAGGGAGTAGTGTTCATGTGGTGGCAAGAGAGGAGAAGGTTCGCAGTCTGCTTACTTGTAGTATGGTTGTATGGAAGCCTCAAAGCCCCCATAGCCATAAAGGAACACCGGGTGAGAGGCATCCTTCTTGAGGCCCTTGGCGTGAACTAAGAACATGGGGATCTTGGTTCCATCTTTACTTGGATAAAATACCTACAAATGCACGTGAAAAAAATAGATGAGGTCACACACAGACGCACACACAATTCACCAAAATGTTGTCTAACATGAGCTGCGTTCTCAGCCACGTACGATTCTGGGAAACCTGAATCGTCTTCCAAATATGCAGCAGAGTGCGATGAAATGACAAGAACAATCTAAGATGACGGTACAAACAAAGGCTAAGGGGGAGGTACGAGGAAGGAAAAAACTTAACGGCAGGCGACCTGGTTGATCTCGTATTCTTCTTGCTTGATGCCTTTCAACTCCACCTCCCTGAACACGCTGGGCTGCGGGTCGGACTCCCTCAAATCACAGTGGTAAATGACACCTGGGTACCAGGGAACCAAAGCCACAGGGGAGACCGGTTACTGCGTGTCTACCTCTAGCATGGCGATATATGGAAATGACATAAAAAAACAAACAGCGGCGCAACTGTCTGCTTAGGAGGGCGCGCGCCTGACTACTGACTATCGCATGAATAAAATATACCAGATCGGCTACAACAGCTTCACGCACTGCTTTGATTATTTGCTGTTTCATGCCAAAGAAAAGTTCCGTGTTTACAGCACAGCTCGCTCGAAGCGTTCAATGTTCAGTTTCAATCACTGAATGAAGCCGGCTATATGTGGGACAAGAATTGAGACATTAAATTGTTAAATTCAGCATTTGTTAACTGTTGTCGTTCATTTAAACCGCTATGCGCAGAGAGCACGGGAGAGGTCGGCGGTCATGGCCTTTTTTGTGCAGGTAATATGTTTAAACTTAAATAAATTACCTAATACAAGTAGTTATGCCTCATTGTATTAATTTGTCCTGTCCTTGACGTGTCTAATGCGGAACCAGATACTCGAATATATCTGTTTTTTTAAAGCGAATATTCAAACGTCATTTTTGATCAATTTTAAACAGCCCTATGACATACAGTTCCTAGCAATTTATGGAATATTTTAAGTATTGGAACTAGAAGAAGTTACCATTACGGCAGCTAGTCAGCACAAAACAGGCATCTCATAAGATTCAGATAAATAAATATTTAGGGGGAAAACAATAAATTGTTCAAAAGAAAACCAAACAACTGTTATTCAGGCAAATCTGTCAAGCAGACATGCAAAAGATTCTCCGCTTCCAGCTTCTTAAATGTGAGGATTTAATGTCATGTTATTAGACTGAATATAACTTTTTTTTTAACTTTTTGTTGAAAAATCTAAATGGCAGTTAGCGAATCAATCATTATTCAGCCCCTAATTAACTACAGTAATCCCTCGTTTATCGCGGGGGTTACGTTCCGAAAATGACCCGCGATAAGTGAAATCCGCGAAATAGAAAACTTTTTTTTTTTTTACAATTAGCAACTATTACATGTATACAAATACAGTGACTCGCGTGTAGGCCGTTTCACTGCTCTTCAGACTGGGCCGCTGCATCCTGACTGCGCTCTGCAGTGTTCTCTTCTTCTGAAGCCCGCGGTGCAGGTGTGTTTGTTCGGGAGAAGAACATAGTGATAGGCAGCTGTTGTCGCTCTTTTTTCTTCTTTGCAAAAAGATCCTTGTACACCGACATGCCACCATCGATTACGTTGGAGAACTGTAATTAACGGCTCGGGAGTGAGTTTTTAGCGAATCAGAATGCAGAGCACAATGCACCAAAAAAAAAAAAAATGCAATATGAAAATCCGCGAAATAGCGAATCCGCGATAAGTGAACCGCGAAGTGGCGAGGGATCACTGTATATGCGTTGAGAAGGATTGTTTCAGCAGTGCTGTATCATGTGGGAAGCTTTCTGACTACTTTTATTCTCATTTCTCTCATGAAACGTAAGGCAACTAAAAGGCTCTTTATGAACTTAAGAGTCACCGGGTGTCGTGAAGGAGGTGAACTTGTAGAACAGTTCAGAATGTGCCTTCTTGCAGCTCACTCCGGCCACCGTGCCGACATCCAGCGGCAGGTCCCTGACCAGCCGGCCTGTGGACAGCTCACACAGCTGGAGGACGTCCTTCACGTCGTGGACGTAGTTGACCACCAGGTGGTGCTGGTTCACACAGGAGACAAAGCCTGCAGAGGGATAAGAAAAGGAAGTGATAGAAAGTATACACGATATCACAACAAATCCGCCTCGTGTCATTAAAAAGCCTGTATCCAAGGGTGCGACTGGTGTCGGTTTCCCTTTCTATGTTGCAACCAATGTCAGCTTCCTCTCTGTTATTCTCACACATCCTAAAAACAAGAAGCCATCTCATGCCTGTCCGTGCATTTAATATGACCGTGTTGATTTGTTATGTTAATTGAGATGCTACTGCACAGGTAGGACATAGACTTCGCTATGGACCTTGGACTGTAACAGGAAGAAATCTCATCAACGGCCAGCAGGAGGCAGTATTAAGATATAATACACACATACGGCTGCAGAGCAGCCAGTGCTGCAAGCCGGCTTCTCTTGACCCTCTTTATAAAACACAGAACTGATGAATCCGTGACTTCATAGCAGCAACATTATATTTGACCACCACCATTGCTCTCAGGGTCAATTTGAGAGTTAAAAAGGTGAGAGGAATTGATATTGGCACATTTCTGAACAGACATTACAGATATTACGAGGCTATTATAGCAACTACGGCCAAGACGGCGTTATGTCAAAGGAGACAATGTCCTCTGGCTGCAACTGTTAACTGACTGTGATCATTTAATGCCATGGCAACAAGCTGCTAGTTTATAAAAAACAAATCAATTAATATTGACTGTAAATTACTATTAACATCATAAAATTATTATTAATTGTAAACTTGTTCAAAAAGTGAAATTCGAAAAGATCATAATTTGCACTATTGAAACCAAATCGCTGATATCACTTGACTGCTGCCTGTTTGAATATTTAAATGCTTAGCGAGTATTTAAATATTCAAACAATTTAATGCTTGATAGCACTTTATAACATGGTTGTACACACACTTAAGCTTATTAATTATTGACATTATTACAGAAGTTTCCTTTGTTATGTGTTGGTGGTGACTACTTGTGGTGAGCTACAAAACACGACTTGGGGTGCTTCCTTAGCATGTTTCTCTTGGCGTGTGCATGCGTTCGGCACATTTTTCACTGTCAATTACCGTCACTCATGAGTCACAATAACCAGACAATGCAGACAAAGTGCGTATAAGCTGAGTTTCACTTTTTGAGTAGACAGCCCTTTGACAAACATCTATGACCACATGCACAGAACTTCCCAGTTGCTGTGGTTGGACTTTCATCGAAGTACGCATTAGTACATATATTCTCTGAAAAGGTGTTTTGCAATATTTTAAAAGCGGAATTGTGGAACTACGACTTACTGCGTAGAAGCCATTTACGCATTTCTAAAGCTTGGTGGACTTTTCGGAAGTTCTAACACCAGCCCGCAGCTGTCATGGCAACCGAGGTCTGTTGTAGTGACAGAACTGCTGGGACTTAAACGCGCAGGTCTTCTGCTATAACCTGTAGAAGTCTCCTCTCAGTCTCACCCAGGACATCCTTGTCGTGCTGCGGAATGAGGGTCGTCCAGCTGTCTGGTTTCTGGATGTCGACGTTGATCAGAGCGTACCGAGGAGCGTCCAAGTTGGAGCGGAATGTGAACACTGTTCCCTCATTGGTGACGTACGAGTACTGGGCATCAAAGTTGTCTACGAGTTTGACCCATGGCAGGAGACCTGGAGCAGAAGATGAATCAAATTACAGCAAAAAAAACAAAAAACAATAATTCATTATAAAAGGTGGATCATGGTCCTCTCATCTCTAACATTGACCATTATAAGTTACAGCAAAAGAAACCCTTAGCGAAGCCCAAATCACACCAGTCTATCACACCAACAACACCCTTTCTCACGATGCAAACACTGAAAAGTGTCCACATTGCTTTGCATGTGAAGGATGTTTTTTTTTAGAAAGTTTGCAAAGTGAATTTTGAAATCTCCACATCAGGGTGGAGTAGCCGCATCTGGGCATGCGTATTTTGTGGCTTGGAGCAGAGGAGGAAGTGTCTATTAGATCAGCACTCTTGAAAAGCTTCGGTGCTTTTCTGAAAATCCAATCTAATGTTGGATTTGGTAACACTTCTTAATGCTAATCAGTATGTGGGGATAAAACTTTACGAGATATAAAGTGACACATGTATATACACCCAAAACTACTACGTAGTTACTAAACATTAAAATTAAGACATTTGGAATTCTAGAGATGTAACAATTGATTTATCAATGAATGAATTAATGGACGGAAAGAATAATTAACTATTTTGATGATTTGATTATAAACTATAATATAGTTTTTGTTGTTCAGCTTTGACAACCCAGATGACAGCTAGTTTTACGTTAAGTCAAAATACATATTTTTATAACACATTTTATTTTTGCGAGCAGAGGTAGGACTATTGCTTTCTCTAAAGGAAAGAAGAAATCTGTAGCACTATATTGTCATCTGTGCAGACAGAAGTTTGCGATCGTGCCAAAGCGGAACTAAGCATCAACTCTGCACCGGGGATCCCACTTAAAATACGTGCATTCTGAGTTCTTCCCCAGTGCACAGACCTGCGACGCCACCAGGGAGCTGCTGAAGGTCACAGTACCACAGCTGGTTGACGGGTTCACAGCCCTCAGTGATGGACAGCACAGCGTATCGGCCGTCATCGGATATCTAGAAAAGGGAAGCGGGAAGGAAGCAAAGTAAGACAAAGAGGCTGGAAAGTCTTTGCAAACCTTTTACTTGAGCACAGCTACTATTGGTGGACAGGGAACACGCAGTAAAGTGTACTTTAGTTAGAGCAGAATTTCTAAACGTGAGTTTTTTGTAATTTGCTACGAGAAAGTCTTACTTCCGTTTAATGTATCAAATTAACTTAGAACATACGGACTGAGGTGCGTGTGTGGTTTTCAATGACAATACTTTCATTTTGTGTTCAAACGCAGTATTTCTGCACAGTTGCAGATACGTTTAATGCCATTAGTATTATAATATTTCTAGAATTAGATACCAGTAGTGTCTGTGTAAGATTGTGTCTGGCTCATCTAAGTCACGCCTCCCAAATAACACAGGAACCTTGTAAATTACCAAAGAACTCAGTGACTTGTGTGCTCGACCCTATTTATGTTCCGTTGATTGAGAAGTCTAAGCGACCCACTGGTGGACATCTCAAACGTTTTTAAGCTGCACTCGTATGTCGCCTGCTCATTTTACGTTATTTTAATCCGATTTGAATGCATTTCTGTGGTTATAGCATGTTTACTTAAGGAAACAATCTGTGTGCCTTACAGCATCACGTGAACGGCTGATTACTAAGAGTGATTCAAGGTGGACTCACGGTTACTGAGCTGTGCCACTTGGGATGTTCGGGGAACTCGGCAACCAGGATGTCTTCTGACTGCTTGGTGCCGATGACGTGGTAGAAGAGCTTCTGATTGACGTTGCAGGTGGTCTCTGTGCCTTCAGTGACAACATAGCAAAGCGGGGTTTGAATGCATTTGTACTCGGCGTGCAGGAAAGGCGTTGCTGCTGCGTGGATGGAGCATGCGGTTCGCTGTGAGCGCGGGGGAATCCTGCTCACCGTCACTTTTGCCTTCCTGCCGCGGGTAGCAGTTGTAAAAGATGCCCTTGGCATCGTGAGTCCAGGCCAAGCAGCTGAACTTCACCCTCTCCAGCACATCGGGCAGCGGAGTGAGATCGTCCGCCTTCATGAAACTCACCGTCACCCAGTCAGAACCGCTGCTGCTCAGACCGTACGCAAAGTATTCACACTCCTCCGAGAGACGGCCCACTGGGTAAAGAGGGGAACGGAGATGATGGGGAGTGATTCAGCACCGACGTCTCAACTTGCTCACCCACTGTTTGACTCACTCTTCAGCGCCACCGTGCCGTCTTCAGACAGTTTATTGGGGTCAAAGAATACAGTGGCTGCTCCATCCAGAGAGTCCTGCACGTAGAGCACGTCTTGGTTCTGGAGACCTTTGTTGTGGAAGTAGAAGTACCTGCAGGTAAAAAACAGGGAATAACAATTCAAGTTAGTCCCTCTCATAAGTGCTTTTCAGTCCGTGCAGGGACTATTCTTTCAATCTAAATGAGTACCTCTTCCCTCTTTTGTAGGGGCAGCTGTATTTGGGGTAGTCATAGAGCTCAGTGAGCCGCTGATGGAACTGAGGGCGAACAGCACACTGCTCCAGGTACGGCATGGTCACTTTGTTCTGCTCCTCAACAAAGGCCTGAGGCACAAAAGGAGAGCGATGAGCAGAGCATGAAGACACGGCTTCAGCCACCTGCCAGAGACGGACACGTACTATCGTTTCTGCGTCATCAGGGTCCTCCAGCCACCTGTAGGGATCGCAGATCTTCCTTCCATGGTAGTCGTCCACCTAGAAATAAGACGAGAAGTGAATGAACAATTATTGACTTAATCAGAATTGAAACTTTTGACCGAAGCAAGAATTTCAATGATTGTTTTTCGGTTTTCTTATTTGTTTTTGGTGGGGAATTGAAACTCAGACATACTCTGAATTCATACTGAAACAGATATTGGACCACTAATTCATTCTCTAAACTGATTAGTAGAGAAAGCGTAAATGCTGTGCCCGCGTGGATGGTAGCTGGTGGCTAAAGCACATTAGCAGGGAACAGCGGGCATTAGGAAACCAAAAGTGAAGCTACTTGAAACTGCGACACACCACAACGGAGCCGAAGACTCCTTCAGTCTCACCATTGTGGACACATGTTGTGACTTTCCGACTTTGGCCCGTTTGTCACGAGGGGTCAAAGTGACAGACGACTGTAAAAAGTTAACAATTCCTTCTTATAGCTTTCTAACCCTGAGCCCGGCGCCTCCCTCGCCCCGGTCTCGCGTTTCTTCCTCGTCATCATTGGACGGACTCCCCGGGACACAGAGGGACACCGAGGGACAAGGCGAGCAGCAGGACTCAGGACACTGACCGTGGTCTCGTCTCTCCGTGCATCCGGGTACTTCATCGCCATGACGCCGCGCTTTTTTTCCCCCTCCGCTGTTTTTGAATCGTTTTGGACGCGGCGGCACCGTCGAGACGACGGAGGCTTGTTAGTGAAAGTGAAACAATATTTATTTTTCGCACACGCGCGGTTTCTTGCTCGCGGCTCGTGCGCGCGCCCCCTCAACCGGAAACGACGCGTCACCCGAGGCCAGCCGTAGTACGCGTGCACGCGCGCATTCGTTATTTAGAGTATCATTCGCGCATCCCCGGCCAAAGGAAATGACAATTATACGGGAAATAATGAGTTTTCCTTGTGGAGGCAAAAGCCAAATTCTTTTATGTAAAAAATGCATAGCGGCTTAAAACAATGTAGTGAGACAGTGAACTGTGGAAAGGGCCCAGGAGGCCTCGGTGCACAGCAGGCTGACTGCAGTGAGTCCTGAAGTGAACAAAGAAAAGGGGATGTGCTTTTATCAGGTTTACAAGCGAGCCCTGGTGACAGAACACGAGCAAGGGGAACTTGTACTTTATTTACCAAAAAAAAAGAAGAAAAGCTTGTGGTGATGAGACATCATCAGTTTGCCAGTAAAATGAGATAATCTACTTACTGTAACCCAATCATCAGTCTCTCTCGCCGCCTGGTCGGCTTGAGGCGGCAATAACCAATGTTCTATTGTGGTTTCATTCACGGTTTGTAAAAAAAAGTGACAAATGGCCATCATACTTTTCCAAAACTGCCGTTTTCTAAGCCTTGCCTCACTGTCACGAATCTTAAGATATTTCATTTGCATTGATGTAAAACAAAGAGAAGCAGTGTATCTTCACATTTGTCAAAGCAACTTCCAGATGTTCGGTGCTCTTAGTTGACATCGTCCTTCAAAGATTTATTACCAAAAGAGTTGATTATTTTCAGATAACTGAATAAACAATTATGATGACAGTTCCCGAGCTGTCACAAGAAGGCACTGTCATTATTCCTTTGATAATGTGAACCCGGCGTATGTTTTCATGGTGAAAGATGTTTCCTACCAACTATGATTTCCAACTGGAATGAACATAAAAGAGGGATTCAAAAATAATCATCTTACTTTCTTTTCTTTGGGAAAGGTATAGCTTTTCTGAAGAATATTAAAATGACTATTTCTAGTGTTGTCATCTTGCAACACAATACGGGCCCTTGTGTTACCTGGATTAACTGGAAGGGAAACAAAATAACACTATAATCTATAATTGAGGAACATCCACAATTTTCAGTGCCAGGCCAAAGAAACACTTGATGGCATTTCCACGTTGTGGTTGTGCAGGTATCTGTGTCACGTCGCCCCACCCGAATGTCAAACCACTGAAAATAATTCCCGAACTACACAAGTTCTGTATTCACCAGTAGAATAGTGGCAGTTTTGTCTCACAATACGAACATGGACCCGTATCTGTCCGAGCCTGTAACCCGCGGAGGGATTACTGAGCGAGTACTCCAGTGTCCGGGCACGTGCCCCCCACGGCCCCCCTTGGCCCTCTGCAAACTCAAAGAGACACGTCCCAGCCAGAAATAGACTTAAATAACCACAAAGAAATATAAAACAACTCGGTGACACACAAAAATACCGCAAAGTAGAATAAGACAAAACCACCAAGAGACATTTGGCAGGTATGAAGAAATGCAAACAGCAAAAGGACCACAAAGACCCACAAAACAACTACAAAAAATACTATTTTCAAACTGTCTGCGCAATGTCTCATAATCTGTTTACGACTGACTGAGACTATTTGTTGTGTGATGAACAGGTTTGAAGCTGGAACTACAAGTCGAGACTGTTTGGCTTAACTTCCCTCGCGATGGAAGGACCTGTAACACAGAGAAAGAACAAAAACAGAGTTTCAGACAAGTAATCCGTCTAATCCATAAAGCTGTAAAAATGTCCGGGATGGAAAGGAGGGGAAAGATGGAGGACAGGGAGTTAGAAAGAGGGCTAATTTCAAACTAATTTAGCTAAGGTGATTAAGTGAGACTGGCTTGATGAGAAAATAAGCTTTTAGAAGGCCCCTGACCTTGTGTCGGTGTATTTACCTCTCGGGCTCATTGATATTGAAACACCATATCAGAGAAGGTGTATTTCTACAGTTTATGCACAGAGAATTATTTATAAAAGGAAAAAAATGTTAGATCACATTATTTCGAATTCATTTACATCTTTAAAAAAGCAAAGAAGCATCATTATTCTTCATGAATAAGATAATGCTTATTCAGTAGTTTATAGACTTAAAACGCTGAGGAATATGAAGGAAACAGCCAAATCTAATGCATGCTGTGATAACTTGTGATCACATTTTGTAACGTGATTTTCAACCTGTTTACTTATTTCTGACCCGCTGAGGTTGATTGAAGAACCTTTACTCTGTGCCACATCGAACAATGAAAATGATAAAAGTTCATGTTGTGTAATTTCATGTTATCTTAATATTGATAAAGAAACATTTGGTGCCAAATCTGTCCGCACATCCTCCGATCACTGCTTTGGTAATTGCCTTACAACTATATGGCAACATGTGCTTTAATTATCAGTGTAGTCCGCGGAGGTTCCCTAATCTTCCGGGCCACCGTGGATGAAAGTGGACCGGGCCAATCCACGTGCAGATGGGCTGTTATGGAAGCAGATATACGGGCCCAGAGGCAGCCAGCGCCTTGCACAGCCCGGATCGGCCTGCCGGGCCTGTGCGGCGGCTGGCCTTGACCTGCGTGGCGTGCTGTACAGATGGGCCATAATTGGCTGGAAGGACCCAGGTAGTTTGCCAATCTGCAAAGGCAGAGAGATTAGATTAGCCATGTCAGATTACAGCAGAGCCGAGTCAGACAGTGTCATCGGGCTGTTCTGCAGCTCCAGACTCACCCACTGAGAGGGGAGGAAGGGGGGAGGGGAGGAAGGGGGCTGAGCCGTTGATGCGTACGACAGAAAACCAGGATGGTGATGACAAAAGTGTGTGAATGGAGGTGTGATAGTTAGGGACTAAATCTAAAAACACAAGTAAATAATGAAAAACAATGTGCCAAGGAGTGAGAGGAAATGTTGTATTTTTTGTAGACAAAATTGTTAAATACTGCAAAAGACCCAAAATGACACACAAGTTATACATCTAGTTATTTATATATCAGTTATATACACACACACACACACGCGCCCTAACACACACACACACACACACACACCAGTGATCACCCCCCTTGAACAGATGGTTCCAAGTGCCAAGCCACTGAATGAGATAATCCGTTATTATTCTGAATATTTTGATTATAACCCCGGTTGTCATTTCAAAATCATACACAAATCACCGCCTAACCTCAGTTTGATCCAAGGCTTCCCGCTGCTCTGAGGCTAATATCTTTGGCTCAGGGCCCAGCGCTTTATTTTAATACAACCGAGAGTGCTATTCCATAAGCTTCTCATTTTAGAAATTGACAATGTTCAGATGTGTTTTATTTAGAGAGCATAATAAAGGGGCTTGGGGGAGATTTGTCAAAGGTGTTTGCTTGTGCTGCTACTTTCAAGTTGGACTTAATACACAAATGGACAAACTGTGGATATTTTCTTCCCGATTACATACATTTTTCTCTTTATTATATTCTGCTCTCATATAACACTTAATGACATCAGGTCGTCTCTGTAGATTATGATAGTGAGATGCATGCAATTTATTTTTGAAGAACAATAAAGATTATTTTCTCTATCAAAATGCACATCCCCTACCCCCTTTGTATTTTAATTAAATACATAAGCAGTGCGGACTAAACTTAAATTAGTGAAGAAAAAAAATCAATAAGGGCGGTGGTGGAAGTTGCGGCCTGATGCCAAGTATTGATCTGTGGTTAATGTTTTTGTTCCGCGGTGCGCTTGACGCCCCAGGGACAATAAAAGACCAGTGAGATTAAGACAATTAGGGGGTTGATTGTTATCCAAAAGACGAGAAGAAGAAGATGAAGATTAAATAAGGGGATTTAGGTCAAAGTGGTGATGTCCAGAAGAAGGAAGGAGGAGGGCGGGGAAAAGGTGGGAGGAGGAGGAGGAGGAAGGATTGGGGTCAGAGAAACTGATCGTCGTAGCCTGGGACTGAGGAAGAGAGTGATGAAGAGGGGGAGGGCCGGTCTGATTCCCGGCAGCCGAGGTGAGTCGTCACCCAGTGAGCCTCACCTGACTCGCTGCACGCCTGTCTGGGGATTTTCCTCATCCGTCTAGACTTCTGAAATCAGCACTATAGCTGATCTGATGTTTTTTCTTTTCTCTCCTCTGTCTCACTCTCATCCCGGCCCCCACCTCCTTCTCTGGAGGGTCTAATTAGCAGACATTTTGTATTGATCCGCTGGATTTGCTCCTGAAATCCCCTTCTCTGTCTGCCAGACAGATCTTGGCTAAAGTCCTCTTCTTTGGCTGGTGTTCTGTGAGATTGAGGAGGTGGGGGGTTGGGGGGGGGGCGGGGGGGGCGTTAGCCCACCTGTTGATCACAAGCGTGCAGACTTTGCGACACGCTTATATCACCCCTTTCTTATCCCTGTTCTCCCCAACACAACATCTTTAAGTCTCCAGATACCCGCTGCAGTCGGAGCTCATGTCATTTGGGCCGGCTAGATGGTAATTGTACTGCAGGTTTGAGTTCCCAATAATTAGGGTTTCAGGCTCTTACAGTCTCATTAGTTGAGAGAGAGAGGGGGATTCAGATGAACACCCTGGTAATTAAGTGTCATGGAAAGATTATGTAAGCTCAAAAGCACAATGCACTGGCTAATAAACCCAAATCTGTCAGCAAAGGCATCATTCAACTGGAGGAAATAGACTTTCAAAATGATACACGTTTTATTTCCCCCAATCAACAAGTATCATGCAGATTGGGGAACACGATCTAATACTCTAATACTGTACCAAAGGTTTTGGGGAACCTGTGCTACATTTGCAGCTACTTCTATGTTTTACTACAATACCAAAAAACTAAGTATCTAAAATTAGAATATTAATAACCCAGGAATTGATTTGGCATTGTACTTCTTTCTTTGAACAAAAAATAAAAGTTTTAGTTCTCCCATTCACATGAGCTCACATCAAGCTCGCAGAAATGCAGAATGACACATTCTGCAGATAACGCCATGCAGCGCTTACGTTCGGTAAAAGATCATGTAAAAATAACAACCACAGCAG